CACCCCCATCCCTATCCCCATCTTCTTCTCCATCTCCATCCCCATCCCCATCCTCATTCCCACCCCCCTCTCCATCCTCATTCCCATTCCCATCCTCTCTCTGAGGATGGTCCTGCTCCCACCTGACAAAGGATCTTTGCATTGATCCTTGTGCTGTGTCCAAAGCTCAGATCCCAGCCGGCCACTGGCCCCCACAAGGATATCCCTCATTCCCAGTTGTGGAAGCACAGGATGGACACAGGAGACTGGGGCAGAGAGCACAGACAGCAGAAATGTACAGAAAGAGCCTCATTTTTGTTGGGTGTCAGCAGGGTCCTGCAGGGATGCTGGCTCCATAGATGGGACTTATTGGGATCGTGAGTATGGGATCAGCACTGCTGGGAACCCCATTGCCAGAGGGCTCAGCACCATCCGGCACAGCCTGGCACAGCGGCCCTTATCGGCCTTCCTGGAATTAATGGGCTGCTTGTTCCAGCCCAGCAGAGATTACGGCATCTCCTGCCGGCAAGGGCAGGGGGAGAGTGCTGGAGGGCCGGGTTATCCATCAACCCCACGGGTTCTGGATCACTTGGTGTGCCGGGCACAGTGCGGCAGCACTGCCACAGTAGGGGTGAAGGGAGGGGGGGAATCGGAGAGGACACCAAGGTCAGCGGGGCTGGTGGTGTGTGCCAAAGATGGGGGCCTCGCTGGGTGCCCAGAGTGGGGTCTGCTCCCAGGGATGATGCCGATGAGTGGGAGTGGGTGGCAGCACAGAGGCTGAAAAATGCTTTCACAGTTGGAGAAACCCCGCGTTGCGAGGGACGTTCCCAGCTCACACCCCATAATATCCCCAGGGGGGCCTCCTCTCCATCCCAGGGTGGGGGCAGAGGGATGTGGCCAGCCCACAGCATCTCCTCCCCCAGCCACACCAGCTATGCCAGCCGGGGACTGTGAGCGCCCCAGTCCGCTTTTCATCCTTCTTCAGGACCTTTTCCTCCTTTTGTGACGCACTTTGGCTGCAGTGTCTCAGCCTTGGCCTCGTGCCACGTCCTGGGGTCTGAATTTATGGATTCAACAGGCGGTGGAATCGGCCCGGTGGGACTGAGCGTGGGAGGGCTCCTGGCTCCACGCCACGGCGTGGGCAGAGCACAAGGATGAGTTCCCATTGCCCCACAAAGCGCAGGGGCTGGGGACCCTTCCAGCAAGTAATATCCCGCTCCCCAACTCTGCACCCTCGTGCACCTTTGTGTCAACTGCTCAAGACCTGCACAGAACCCCATAGCCCCCAAAGGACCCCCCTACAGATCTACCCCATAGCCATGCTAGGACCTCACAGAGCCCCACAGTCACCAATAGGACCCTTATATCCCTCCCCAGAATCCCCAGAGACCATAATAATTCCTCCATATGACCCCCATGTCCACCTCCAGGACCCCCTTAGGACCTCACAGACCCCTATATCCCCCAATAGGACCCCCAAAACCCCCCATCACACCAGACAGGCAGCATCCTACAGCACATGGGAGCAAGCCCGGGATGTGTAGATGTGTACTGCCTTTCCCAGTGGACAAACGGATGCATGGACACCAAGGTGTCTTTGCCCATTCTGCCTGGTTGCAGGGTGACCAGTGTCTGGGAATGGTCCCCAGGTTGGGTCCTGCTGCCCCAGATGTCCCTTCCCCAGGTGGGACATGGTGCCAGCAGGACAGGGCTGCAGGAAGGGATTGCTCCCCCATGAACGACACAGACATTTTTGCTCATTATTCCACTTTTTAATCTCCCTGCGAGGTGACTTGCTTAGAGTAATAATTGCTTCGCTCTCATTTTATCTGGCTAATTAATCAGTTAATAAATGACTTTGCTGCAGGGGAGGCAGACGCTGCAGCCGTCTCCTCAACCAGGGACTGGAAAAAAACAGGGAAGGAGCTCAACCCACAGGATTTCCATGGCCCCATGGCATGCACAGCTTGTTGGAGTTTGGGGGGCTGATAGGGCCCCCTGGTGTACCCTGGATTCCAGCAGGACCACTGCTGCATGGTGATAATGGGGCAGGGTGGGGGACTGCAGGTTTCCTTCTTCATCATCAGCTATGGGGCTGCAGAGTGGCTGTGGGAAAGGGTAGAAAATGGGGCACAGAGGAGTACTGGGGTGAAGGGAAGCAGATGGGGCTGCGTGGGTTACCCAGAGGGACAGACAGGAGGTGCGGGATGGCTCAGTCCTGCCCAGCATCCCCCAGCAATGGGCTCAGATCAGCTTCTCCCCTCTCCACTGCAGCAGGAGCCCGGCACATGGGAAGGCGGTCTGCAGGTCTCTGCGGATCTGGGGCAGAGCACAGCATCAGCAAGCAGCAAGCACAGACATCACGGGACAGGGAGCTCCTGTCCCCTATTCCCACCCAGGAAGGCACCCCAAGAGAGTCCCCCGTTCATTTGAGGGGGCTGAGGGCACAGCTCACCTTGGCCAGGAGCAGCTCCTGCGCCGTGGTGTTCCCCATGTCCAGAGGAGTGATGAGATGCATAGAGAGGAAGAGCTGGGATGCACCTGGGAGCAAGGGACACAGCTCTGGTTGTGCCCATCCATCTTGCACTGCAGCAGGAGCACACCCCACACACCCCCATAGCCCCCACAGAGAAAGCACTGGGGATGCAGGCCCTCCTGCACTGGCCACCAGGAAGCCCAGTGGCCATCACGATAACAAGGAGGTGATGATGCCCATCGGGCACGTGTGGCCCTGCCTCCTGTCCCCAGGAAGTAGCACTTACTGGCATTGCTCGGGGCGCTGGGGCAGGCTGGTGGCAGCTCTGCAGAGGGGCTGGTGGTGCCATTCAGGCTCTGTGCTGAGGTGGTGGCAGGGGAGGAGGGATCTGTGCCTGGGCATAGCAATGCTTTGTTAGTGCTGCTGTCACAGAGTGTTGTTACAGGTGGGGGTGACACTCACCTGGGGTGGCACTGGGGCTCTGAAGTGCTGTCGAGGTGTCTGGAGGTGATCCTGTGGTAAGTGTGGAGACATCGGGGCTGGTTCCAGTGGTGCTCCCCAGAGATGGGCTGGGACTGGAGGTGCTGCTGGGGACCACCATGCTGGTGATGGAGGTGGTGGTGGTGTCTACCACGGTTGTAGAGGGCTCAGGTGGTGCAGCTGTGTGTGCTGAAGTGGGGACAGCACTGCTGGTCCCTGGGGTGGTGCTGGGCATCGCTGAGGTGGGGGCTTCTGTGTCCCGGCTGGAGGGAGGAGTGGTGGCTGCGGTGGTGAACAGCGACACAGGGGGCTCTGTGGATGCTGGCATTGTCACACCCACTGCTGTGCTCCCTGCAGAGAGGCGGCAGAGCATCACCCAGTGTGCTGGCACTGAGGCACCCCACGCTGCGCATCGGCCGTGGGCAGCCAACAGCCGGGATCACCGTCCTGAGCAGATACAGATCCGTGCGGATCGGCGGTGTGGGAGGACAGCACATCCCCAGGCCGACAAGCGGGCACGGCTCCGGGCAGGACCCCCTCCTGGCGCCAGCGATGGCCCCGTCCCACCGCCTCCATCCAGCCCTGCGGCACTCAGAGCCGCCCGTCGGACGGGAGGAGCCGCAGGAACCGGTTACCCTGGGACGGGCTGGGAGCTCCTCTGCCGCGTACACAAAGCTGCGTGCAGATGTTCAGGAACCGATAACGCGGGGCGCAAAGAATGGGAGCGGAGCCCACGGGAGGAGAGGGAGAGAGGACTGAATCCTGGCTGGTGCGTCGGGATTAGGTTTAGCAGAGATGAGAGCAGGGGGCTGCTGCTCCGGGCAGCCCCAGAGAGGAGTGGAGGAAGAGGTCCGCGTGCAAGCAGCAGAAATAAAGCCAAGCTCACTACTCTTGCTGTGCATGGCACAGCAGCCACAGTGTTTCACTCCCACATCCCTGGGCCGCGACGCTCCCTCCCCGTGCGTCCCGCTCAGCCCTTACCCAGTGCCAGCTTTGACCCAGCGAGGCTCAGCAGCAGGATCAGGGGCAGCCCTCCCCTACTTGCAGCCATGTCCGGGGAGGCAGGAGCCGATGCCGCCTGGTGGGCACCGCTCTGAGCGCTCCCCACGGCACTGTGGTTTCCGCGTTGCCTTCTCCCGACAGAGGATAAGCATCCAGATGCGTCCCTTTATTGCCCAGGTGCTGGCACTGCCGGAAGGGCTACCACCCAGCACGGGTGCTCCCAGGGATGGGCACAATGCCCGGCAGCCATCAGTTGCACGGTGCCCCCAGAACAGCCGCAAGCAAAGTCCCTAAAGCTGGAGACTTGTGCCGGGCAAGGGCAGTGCCAATGGGAAAAGCCCTGGAAGAGCCTGGGACCCCCTAAAACTCCGAGGAAGGGGTGATATGTAGTGGCTGCCGACACTGAGGCCCTCAGAGACAGCAGTCCACCCTGTGTGCAAAGAGGCAGAGCCAGGAAGGGCGTGCTCTGGGCTGAGGACTCATCTCCTGGGCTGTCCGTGCAGCATCACTTCCCCAGCACGTGTCACAGCCCAGCGCCGCCTGCAATCAGAGCTGCTTCCTTGTTGCAGGGGTCAGGGATGAGGCCCCTCAAAGGCGCTGGGCCAGGACACAGAGTCCTGCGGGTGTCTGGGGCACGGCCAGAGCACGGCACTCTGCCGGGGCTGTCACTGCAAGCACACGGCCGGCTGCCGACACACCGGAGGCACCACCAGTGGCGTGGGCAGGATGCAGGCACCCAAGGGTGCTGGGCTCTCACTGCCGGGCTGTCACCAGGCTGTAGGTGGTAGGACAGCAGGGACGGCTGCTTGGATGGGGCACAGGCACGTGGATGGCTCGTCCTGGGGGGTGCTGCTGACATGCCCACCCGAAGCTACGCCTCCATACCACTCCCACTGCGGCCACACCTCTCAGCTCCACCTTATATAGGGCACATGGGGCAGGGGGTGGATGCTCTTTAGGGTTGGGTGTTGTTACCCTGTGTCTCTGTCCTACAGCTGCACTCACCTGGGGTGGCGCTTGGTCTCGTTGGGGATGTCTCTGCTGGGCTGCTCTCAGCTGTGTTCTTCAATGGTGGGCTGGGAGTGAGGGTGCTCCTGGGGAACACTGTGGTGCTGGTGGTGGTGGTGGTGCTCACCAGGGCTGTGGAGGGCTCAGCTGAGGAATCTGTGTGTGCTGGTGTGGTGGGAGCTGGGGCTGTGCTGGTCCCTGCTGATGTGATCTCAGCCCAGGTGGATGCTGTGACTGTAGAGAGTGTGCTTGGGGTGGTGGTGGTCATCTGGGTTGTAGCAGTGCTGTGTGTGAAGGCATCTGTCTGTGGAGTTATGGTGGAGATATCAGAGCAGGTCCTAGCTGTGCTCTCCAGTGTCTGGCTGGGAGTGAGAGTGCTCCTGGGAGGCACTGTGCTGCTGGTGGAGGTGGTCGTGAAGCCCAGCAGCACTGTGGAGGGCTCAGTTGAAGGATCTGACTGTTCTGGGGCACTGCTGGTCCATGGGGGTGTGCTGGTGGCATTTGTGCCAAGAGTGGTGCCCATTGAAGTGTGTGGCAGAGGGCTGGAGGTGGAGGAAGGCAGCGTGATTGTTTCAGTTGCTGCCAAATTCATGGTTGAAGCTGGGGCTGTGCTAGTCCCTGCTGATGTGCCAGACCGGGTCTCAGCCCATGTGGTTGCTATGGCTGCGGAGGTTGGGCTTAGGGTGGTGGAGATGAGCCCTGGGCTTGTGGTGGTGGTCATCTGGGTTGTTGCAGTGCTGTGTGTGAAGGCATCTGTCTGTGGAGTTATGGTGGAGATACCAAAGCTGGTCCTAGCTGTGCTTTCCTGTGTCTGGCTGGGAGTGAGAGTGCTCCTGGGAGGCACTGTGCTGCTGGTGGAGATGGTCGTGAAGCCCATCAGGGCTGTGGAGTGCTCAGCTGAAGAATCTGACTGTTCCAGCATGGTGGGACATGTGGCTGTGCTGGTCTCTGCTGATGCACCAGTGGTGGTGTCAGCCCAGGTCCGTGTTATGGCCATGGAGGCTGAGCTTGAGGAGGTGGTCGCCTGGGTTGTCACAGAGCTGAGTGTGAAGGCATCTGTCTGCGTGCTGGGCATCGCTGAGGTGGGGGCTTCTGTGTCCAGGCTGGAGGGAGGAGTGGTGGCTGCGGAGCTGAGCAGCGACACGGGGGGCTCTGTGGATGCTGGCATTGTCACACCCACTGCTGTGCTCCCTGCAGAGAGGCGGCAGAGCATCACCCAGTGTGCTGGCACTGAGGCACCCCACGCTGCGCATCGGCCGTGGGCAGCCAACAGCCGGGATCACCGTCCTGAGCAGATACAGATCCGTGCGGATCGGCGGTGTGGGAGGACAGCACATCCCCAGGCCGACAAGCGGGCACGGCTCCGGGCAGGACCCCCTCCTGGCGCCAGCGATGGCCCCGTCCCACCGCCTCCATCCAGCCCTGCGGCACTCAGAGCCGCCCGTCGGACGGGAGGAGCCGCAGGAACCGGTTACCCTGGGACGGGCTGGGAGCTCCTCTGCCGCGTACACAAAGCTGCGTGCAGATGTTCAGGAACCGATAACGCGGGGCACAAAGAATGGAGTGGGGCCCAGGGGAAGGGGGGGAGAGGAGCGAATCTCAGCTTGTGTGTCAGGGGTGAGCAGCAGGATGCACGCTGCAAGTCACAGAAGCTCTGTGATTACTGAGGGCCGGTGGCTGCCTCAAGGTCGCAGGAGGCCGCGTGGATGGCGATGATCCCGAGGTTCCCACCCTGCGGTAGGCGGCTCAGTGACCCCCAGCCCTGCGCTGCGGTACCCCCACGCGTTTCCCACATCCCTTACCCAGCGCCAGCTCGGACACGGCGATGCTCAGCAGCAGGGACAGGGACAGCCCTGCTCTGTGTGCGGCCATGTCCCGGCAGGACCCAATGCCCCGGGCAGGATTCAGCACCCTCCAGCCAGCACCGCTCCAAGCGCTCCCCACAACCCCAGAGCTGCGCGGTTTCCGTGTTGCCTTTGCCCAGCAGCACCCAGGTGAGTCCTTTTGTTTCCCCAGGTGTTGGCACCGAAGGGGGTTTCCACCCAACGCGGCACTCCCAGCGATGGGCACAACGCCCGACAGCCACCTGCCCTGCGGCCGGGCCGCGAGCGGAGGGGAACGTTGGGAGTTTCGCGGCCGCGGGATGGAGCACAGAGCGGTTTCCTCATTCCCCAGGCTGGGGGCAAAGCCTGTGCTGGGTGGCTGTGCCGTGCGCGGGGATGCTACCAGCGGGGGTAGCACGATGCTGAGAGCGCTGCCCAACGCCGCTCCCCCGGTGCCGAGCCGAGGCGCGGAGCCGCTTCCTCGTGCCTGCGGGGCGGGGAAGGGGTGGGGGGGGGGCGGGGAGGTCACGCCCATTTCTCTGCCCGCACCCTCCTGGTTCCGCCCCGCGTTGTGTAACGCCCGCTCCGCCGCCGCCACGTGGGTTCGGGCCGGGGTTCGGGGGCTCTGTTTGGGGCCGAGGATGCCGCGGGGCAGTGGGAAGGGGAGAAAGGAGCGGAATGCGGGGAGGGAAGAGGAGGAGGAGGAGGCCGGGGCCGTGGGCACGCTGGAGGCCGCGGTGCGGGAAGCCCGGCGCAGGGCAGCTCCGTCGGTGCGGGATTTCCGCTACAACAAGCAGCGGGCCCGGCTCGTGTCCCGGGGCTCCGAGCTGAAGGAAGGCGCCGAGTGCATCCTCTATTGGATGTGCCGGGACCAGCGGGTGCAAGGTAGGAGCCGGCCCCGTGCCCTGCAGTGCTGGGTGCTCCGGGGGGCCTCTATTAAGCATTCCCCGTTTGCTCGCCCTGCAGATAACTGGGCATTCCTCTATGCCCAGCGCCTGGCCCTCAAGCAAGAGCTGCCTCTGCGTGTCTGCTTCTGTCTGGTGCCCACGTTCCTGGATGCCACCATCCGCCACTATGGCTTCATGCTGAGGGGGCTGCAGGAGGTGGCCGAGGTACAGATGCAGCGGGCAGGTGGGATGGAGCCGGCTGCGAGCAGTCCTTAAGCCCTGCCCTCTCATTGCAGGAGTGTGCGGAGCTGGACATCCCCTTTCACCTGCTGCTGGGCTGCCCCAAGGATGTGCTGCCCAGTTTTGTGGTGGAGCACGGTGTGGGTGGGCTGGTGACGGACTTCTGTCCCCTCCGTGTCCCCCGGCAGTGGGTGGAGGAGGTCAAGGAGCGATTGCCTGAGGATGTGCCCTTTGCACAGGTGGGTGCCTCTGGAAGACACGTCCTGGGTCTGTTGGAGAACACAATATGCATTGTGCCATTAGGAACATTGGCTTCTGCTCACATCACCATCTCCAGCTTCCCTTCCCAGGTGGATGCCCACAACATCGTGCCCTGCTGGGTCACCTCCCCCAAGCAGGAGTACAGCGCCAGGACCATCCGGGCCAAGATCCACAGGCAGCTCCCAGAGTTCCTCACTGAGTTCCCGCCTGTTATTCGGCACCCACATCCACCACCCAACCCCCCAGAGGTACCTGCAGAGATGCACTTGGTCCTGGGTAGCCTCATGGCTTTGTGGCCCTAGAAGGGGGACACCACCCACAAGTAGTGTGGAGGTGGAGAGTCCCTGGGGGTGGGAGGTTCCATCTCCATTTTTCCAATGGATCTTTGCTGTGCTGGGCTGCTTAATTGGGAGCTGGGGGCTTGCAGGCTGGGGACAGCCCTTAGCTGGCACATGGGGGACATATGTTAAGGCTGGACAGCATCTGCTGCTGCGGCTCAGCTCTCATGCTGTTTGTTTGCTCACAGCCCATTGCGTGGGATGCCTGCTACTCCAGCCTGCAGGTGGACCGCACAGTGACAGAGGTGGCATGGGCAACCCCTGGCACTGCTGCTGGGCTGGCCATGCTGCAGTCCTTCATCGCCAAGCGGCTCAAGTCCTTTGGCTCCCAGCGGAACGACCCGAACAAGGCAGCTCTCAGCAACCTTTCTCCATGGTTCCACTTTGGTGGGTGTCCCAGGCCATCCCCATCCCATTAATAACGGCCAAGTGCTGGTGGCTCAGCCAGGAGACCCAACTCATGTCATACCCATGTCCCCAGGCCAGGTGTCCACCCAGAGAGCCATCCTGGAGGTGCAGAAGCACCGACGTGCCTACAAGGAGTCGGTGGATGCTTTTGTGGAGGAGGCTGTGGTACGGCGGGAGCTGGCAGAGAACTTTTGCTACTACAATGAGAACTATGACAGTGTGCGAGGTAGCATCCATGGGGCTGGTGGACAAGGCTGAGATTGGGCAAATACTCTATTGTGCTCACCCCAATGCCCTGTTCCTTCTAGAGGATGGGCCATAGAACCTTTAGGGTTGGAAAAGGCCTCTAAGATCATCATGTCCAAACATCAGCCTATCACCACCATGCCCACTAATCCATGTCCCTCCGTGCTCCATCTCTATGTTTCTTGAACCCCCTCAGGACCTGGAGGGGAGCAGTTTGCTCAGCATTGCTCCTCACCTCTCTCACAGGTGCCTATGACTGGGCACAAAGCACACTGAAGCTCCATGCCAAAGACAAGCGGCCTTTTCTCTACGAATTGCCCCAGCTGGAGCAGGCCACCACGCATGACCCACTCTGGAACGCTGCTCAGGTTAGTGACCCCCATCTCCTTGTTCTGAGGTCTCTCCTCTGAGACCTGTGTCTGTGCTGGAGCCAAGCTGGCATGGGCTGACTGCTGTGGTTGTGTCCTTCCCTGCAGCTACAAATGGTGCAGGAGGGCAAGATGCACGGCTTCCTGCGGATGTACTGGGCCAAGAAGATCCTGGAATGGACCCGCAGCCCTGAGGAAGCCCTACAGTTTGCCATCTACCTCAACGACCGCTATGAGCTGGATGGGATGGACCCCAACGGCTATGTAGGTAAGCTGGGGGGGGGGCATGGGCGGGTGCAGCATGGGGATGAGAGACTGGATATAAAGAAAAACCTTTTTATGATAAGGATAGTGAAGAACTGGCACAGGTTGCCCAGAGAGGTGGTGGGTGCCCCTTCCTGGAGACACTCAAGGTCAGGCTGGATGGGGGCTCTGAGCACCTGATGGAGCTGTAGGTGTCCCCATTCAGTGCAGGAAGCTGGACAAAATGGCCTTTAAGGGCCCCTTCCAACTCAAATGATGGAGAGGGCTCTGCAGAGAATCCATGTCCCAGCTGCTCTCTGGCCCTGAGATGCCCGTAGGCACAGGACAGAGCTGATGCTCCATCCCCATGTTCTGCAGGCTGCCTTTGGTCCATCTGTGGCATCCATGACCAGGGCTGGAAGGAGCGGGATGTCTTCGGCAAGATCCGCTACATGAACTATGCTGGCTGCAAGCGCAAGTTTGACGTGGATCAGTTTGAGAGGCGCTACACCCGCTGCAAGTGACTGTGATGCAGAGGGGTGAGGGACCTTGAGCTGGTTAGCGCTGCTCCCTGCACGGGTGAATGTGCTTTTTTTCATGGTGCTGGCTTGCACTGACACAGATTTGCTATGGGTGGTGGTGGAGGGCTGGCTGCAACAGCAGCAAGCCTCAGGGCTTTGTTGTAAAACTTACAGTTTGTAGCTTCTATGTTGGCAGTGCAATGTACAAGGCCAGCTGCACGGTGAGGGATGCAGCCGCCTTGTCCCTGCTCGCACTGAAGCTGAGCTCCTTGTCAGAAGCAAAAAAAGAAAGCTCAGGACACAACCCCACCTCATGTTAACTTAGTTTATTAGGGACGGCATTTTCATTGCTACGCTGTGCAGCAGTCCCATTGGGAGGGCTCCAGTGAAATGCTGGGGCAGCTTGTGGTTTTCCTTTAGAAACTGTTGGGGCCTTGGCAAGCTCCAGCATCACATCAGGATGTTAGTGTTGGACATCACCTTGCTCCAGAGCCCTCTGCCAGGTTTCAAGTCCCCATTGTTTTCAGACGGAGGGAAGAAAACACAAATAAACCAAAATCCATTTGCTTTTCTCTAAATATACTCAGTGCTTCTAGAACGGGATGTGGGCAACCTCTCAGCCAGTGCCCCATGACATTAAAGTGCTTCAAACAAAATGGTGTGGATGAAGTTGTGCTGCTCTGAGCCAGATCCCAGGAGGAGGGAGGCCAGCTCGTCCTGCTGAGCTGGATGGCAGCGCGTGGACCAGAGGCAAGAACAGTGGCAATGCTTTCTGCTGGCAAGGTAGACCAAGTTGTGGTAGCTCCAGAGCTTCCAGCTGCAGAGCAGGTAGGAGAGCAACTGCTCTCCTGGGGAAAATGAGGATAGATGGGAGGAGGCAAGAACTCAGGGGAGCAGGTGGGGAATGGAACTGCTTCAGGTTGAGACCCCTAGAGCTGGTTGTGGCAGGATGCTGCAGCACAGGGAAGAGATGCTGTCCTATCAGCAAGGCTTGGAGTCACACTGCGGCCACCTCTCCCAGTCCCATCCTTGCCCTTCCAACACTTCATACCTAGACACAACTTGAAAGCCTTCTCACAGCATATTGCCCCCTGCCCTTCACCACCCTTCTTGCACATACACAGGCTCCACTATCCTTCTTAACATCCACCCTAATGCTGGGTGCACGTGTCCCTCCCATGATAACTTGGTGCTGGACGCATGCCATGGGATAAAGCATCCCTGGCTACAGAGGCACCTTGCAGTATTTCCAGGGCCAGGCCTCTCTCAGGTGCACTCTTTCTGGGAGCAGCCTGCTCTGTTCCCTAGAGGGACTTGGTGACCCCTCTCCCCAGGGCAGCAGAGCTGATGGGAGAGGGAACCCCTGGCACTCCCCAGCCCCTGTCAGGGGGTGATGGACCAGGAGCAGGTAAGCTTTGGATATTTTAGACTACTAAGTCCCAAGCAAATTGTATGCTCCCTAAAATGAGCATCTCCTTGGGATGGGGAACAAACAGTTAAAAATACATACAATCACATTTAAAAAATAAAACCAAATCCAGCCAACTAAAAAAAAAAAAACAACAACAAAAAAAAACCAGGACAGAGAGGTTAGGGGGAGGTGATCAGAGGACTGAGCCAAGAGGCTTTACACATCCTGACTGGTACAGGCAGAAGACAGCTGCATGCAAGGCAGGCCCTGATGCTGCTGCCATGGGGAGGTGCCATGTCCCTTTTACAGGAAGAGGCAGCCTTCAGGGAGGACAGAGCAGCAGCATGAAGGGGATATGAGGTTTGAAGCCTTGCTAACTGTGTGTCCTGCCATGCAGAGCTGCCTCCAGCCCCATGCCCAGCAGTACCAGTCCCCTCACACAGCCGCACATCCCAGCTGCCCCCACTGCAATGCCTTTGGGGTGGAAGGAGATGGAGCAGCTCAGCATGGATAGTGTGGGGGGAGGTAGGGCTGACATACAGTGTTTACATCATTGCTACTTCCTCTGTTCTGATTCTGGAGGGAGAGCAATGGTTTACTGGCAATGGTTCCAATCCAGATGTTAAAAAAGGGAACTGCTAAATGTTCCATCAACCCCCTCCCCCCAAACCTTCCCCTACTTCCATGTACAAACTAGCAGCAAGACGCAGGATGGGAGGATTTGGAGAGCTGACTTCCCTCTCCCAGGAGCGGACAGCCAGAGCTTTCAGTGTCCAGCTGATGAGCAGAAAGTGCTGACCCCACCGAGGACTCCTCCAGGAAGAAGGAGATGGAGATGGACAAGGAGAAGGCTGCAGACAGGCTCACAAGTGATTGCCTGGTAAAGACTCACTTTCTGCCTGCAGGACAGACAGGACTGGCCACCACCTTTCCCCACATCAAGGCATCACAGGGTGTCCATTACCTGGAACAGACCAGATGACAGAAGATACTCCTTCCTTAACACTGCTGTACAGGGGAAAGCAGATCCCTTTGACACTACTCCAGGTATGACGAGTGTCCTGCCAGTCCTCCTCACCGTAAGTATGCTTGGTTCAGTCTCTGGTGATGACGGTGTAAATAGACCTAGTGCCTGCTCCTCTGCTGCACCATGCTTAGGTGGCTGTTGCTGCCTCCTGCTGCTCCAGCTCATCATCTTCATAGTCTGAGATGTAGGACTCCATGCTCTGCTTGGCCAGCAGCTCTCTCCGGGCTTGGAGTCGCTCGCAGCGAGGGCAGCGTGTGGACTTGAAGCAGGACTTGTGGTAGCAGGCTTTGCATTCTGGGGGGAGAAAAGGAGAGTAGCTGAGGGCTGGCACAGGCTGCCTGGTTCTCCACACCTGCAGAGGGATGCTTCAGATTTGTCCAGGAGGACAAACACCAGAAGCAGGGGTTTGGCACTGCTCTGAAAGCAAGAACTCACGCTGTAGTGTACCTAGCTTGAAACAGCTGCAGTCCTAACTCTAACCCTGCAGCACATGCTTCACTGCAGGGCAGAGCTGCTGCTCTGGATGAGCAAATACCATTGTAATATTTTAAACACTGTTGTAAACAACAACTGATCTGTTGCTGTTATCATGTGGCGCAAACATAGGTCGCTCACAGAAGCACCCTGGTCTGGCTGACTGTGTTTGTGCCAGCAAGAGGCATGGAGCCAAAGCCACACAAAAGCGAAGAAGCAGACGTTGCTGACCCCCTTCCTGTTTCTCCCCAGTAGTTCACCTTCACATGTCTTGCACTTGTTGAGCTCAAAGGGGAAGATGATGTCGCCTTCATTCTGGCAGAACTCACAGATGAAGCCTTTGGCTTGGCACAACTAGAAGAAAAGGTCAGAAAAAAGTAAGCTCAACGCTCCTCATCTCCCTGGAGCAGAATAGTAGGACATGGTGTCTTGCTCTACCTATGTGGGACAGTCCATCCCCAGCATGAAGCACAGCAAGGCAGAATCAACATGCTAAGGATAAAGTCAAAATGGGGTAAGAAATATCCCACATGTGCTGGGTAGCAGTTTATGTGAACAGGTGAGAGTAGCAAGTATGTCATCAGTTAATTCTGTGATTGCTCTGCATGTCAAATGCCTTCTCACTAGCTATTTACACAGAAAGCCTACCCAAAGGGTGTTTCAGAGCTGTGCAGTAGGTGGCTATAGAGGCCTTACCATGCATTTCTCAACGTGCAGGCTGCCTGCCTTCAGGAGTTCCGTCAGGCGAGGCACCAGGTCCCCCCTTTTGGTGGCACTGAGGTCGCTTAGAGAGTAGAGATGCAAATCCTCTGTCAAGTGACCAGGCACCGCATCGAAGGAGTCCAGGAGACTGCAAGGACAGCAAAACTGGAGCTCAGAGCAGAGAAACTCTACTGAGTCAAATACAGGACAGCAAACAGCTTAACATCATGCCCCAGGACTCACTCTTTAGCTAGCCGGCAGGTCTTAAACATGTTCTTCATGTGGAAGAGCTGGATTCGCAGCAGCTGGAGAGGAAGGAGGGACACAAGATCAGTAAACAGATCACAGACCTTAACTAAACACGTCTGCCCCATTTCCTGCGCTGGTGAAATGACTGCTGCTCCCCTGGTACAGGAGTGTTTACACCACACTGGATACAGCGAGCACAACCAGTCACCACACGCTCCAGGAAATAAACCAAGGCCCAGCTGGACACCAATTAGAAATACCTTCCCATTCTGTGCTACTGCACAGGAAACAAGATATGAACGGAAACCCACAGCACTGAGGTTTTAAGCTTCAGAAACTGAAATATCCGCTTCTCCTCAGCTTCTCCAGCACACGATTTACAACTGGCAGTCACCCTCCCCCTGCAAGTCCCGTTCAGGAAGGTGATGGAAGGGGCTTACCCACACTTGGTTGAGAGATTTCACCTTCCGGTACAGGGCAGGATTGATATCTTGCACGTTGAAGAGCGGGTCGCTCCAGATCTTGCTCAGCAGGTCTTTGGAGAAGTTGCTCACATAGTACTTGCTGAAGTCCCACTTGCGCAGGATGCGGCTGGGGATGACTGTCTGGGCGTTCTCGTGGCAGCACTGGCAGAAATACTTCCCCAGGTACTCACAGTACCGCAGTCGCTTGATGTAATCTAGCCAAGCCCAGGGGAAGGGGGAAGTCAGGTGAGGTGCAAGCTCTGCCCATCCACGTATCAACATTTCCAGCGAGGAAGGCATTCTGCCTCGCCAGCACCTCCTCCGGCCCCAGACTGCTCAACGCTGGAGCCTGAAAGCACGCTGCAGGCTGCAAAATTCTTTGAGGACCACAACGTGCCTATCAATCCATGCAGTTAGGGAGTGCACAAAAGCTATGACCCGAATTTGTGGATACAGACACTGCAGACCCACCAGGCTACCAAAGATAGGAAGGTAAGTGTGTAAAGACTGTCCATTTACAGGTCCCCAACACATGTATGCTGACGTGTGAGCAGAGCTGGCAAAGACCTTAGAAATGACACCAGGAAAGAGCATACCATCTTTCCGATGACCTCATGCTGAGCTCTGCCACAATCCACCCACTCTGCATTTTCCCACTCTCACAGGTTATTCCCTGCTTTCCAGCTACTGCTCAGCACTCACCAGGATCGGTCCGGATGCCACAGCCTGCACACCGGTAATTCTGCTTGGCCACAGCTACCTTCCTCCTGTCCAAAGACAAAATATGACATAGGTGAATCCAGGCCTGGTGGCACCCAGCACCTGACAATAGGCACTGACACAACTCTGGACATGCACATCCACATTCTTTGCAACGTAAGTGTGGATGACAGCTAAGTGGAGGGGAAAAGCCTTGATGCACACCAAAGACAGGAAGCACAGGCACCAAATGGAGATGGCCAATGTGGATTTAGCAGAGAGCAGAGAAGCCCTGCTAGCCAAGTAGGGAAGTAAGGACAATCAACCATGGAAAAGCCTAAAAAAAGCAATGGGGAAAAATGGGGGAAAGGGCAGGTACCCAGAGAGCCCTCTACTGTATGAACTCTTACGTTGGGGTTGGATGAACGTTGAAGATGATCTGTGGTCGTGGGGGGGCCCACTCCAGGTTTCCACGCACCCGAATCCTCAGCTTGTAGATGTCAGCGTGTTCTCCATCATCGGGAGAGACAGGCAGAGAGTCGGGGATGGGCAAGAGCTGGGAGAGGCAGGTAAAAGGGTCAGACCCCTGCCTAGAACTACATAGGCAATGCACCTGGTTGGTGCCTAGCCCTAGCCCTGCCCTAAAACCAGGCTGCTGAGGCTGAACAGAGGGGCTGGAAGATGGGATTTCCCCAGGGGTCTGAGCATCTGCTGTATGAGTCTGAAGGGCAGAGCCTAGCACTGCTGCAGCCTATTTACACATGGCCTCTTCAGGAACTTTCACTATTTCCAGGCAGCCCAGGAAACTGGGCAGGTCTCCTCATGCTTCCCAAGCACAGCCTAACTCTGAGCTCACTGGGGCGTATGACGCTTCAGCCCTTCAGGGTATGGGCAAGCTGAAGAGCCTGGCAGAGTTTAGCACCGTGCAGGATGAAGATCCTGGTACTGAACGTGATGCCTTCAAGGAGTGACTGTATGTCGCTCAAATCCCCAGAACAACTGCATATCAAAGAACAACCTGCACTTCAAGGAGACCAAACAGCAGCCTCTATGAAGAAACCATATGGGGGAGGGCTGAGCACAAGACGGGTAAACCCATCACGATGCCAAGTTTGCTCTCTGCAGACATTAGTAGGAAAAGGCCAAGGCACTGCTGCCCAGGAAGATGTGGTAGCAAAACACCCTATGAGAACATGCTGCAGGGGGCAAGGAAGAAGCCACACAGCTGGGCTGAATGCCTCCCAGGGAGCTGTCAGCACCACTGGGGATAGCTTCTGTTCTTTGAGCAGTTTTTCACTTCTTTCTGGTTCCTCCATGAGACCCAGAGCCCACAGCCCCAGGACAGCTCATTTCCAACACTGGTGCCTCAACAAAGGAACCATTTGGCATATTGACAGTCGAGCAGTTAGTGCACGCTGTGGCCCATGCATGTTCCCTCCAGGCACGTCATCCACTCCCAGCGTACCAGCAGGAGTTTTTTGGAAAGCTGCCTTTTCTTATACCAGCTGGGATGCCTAAACAGCTTTTTTAGAGACCGTCTCAGGCCCTGAAAACCAACAGCAAACAAGCAATCAAGGTGCCTAGCAAGAGCAGTGGGTGAGCAGCCATGTAGGCTGTGCTTATGCCCCAGTTCTAGGGGATTTTTACCCAGCACAACTTTTGCTTGGGAGCCATTGCTGTTCCCAAACTGCTGCCTCTGTCCTTGCAGACCTCTTGGCTGTTAGCCAAGGCACTGCACAGCAAGCGGTAGGGTCTGGACAAAACCTATCCTTCTCTTCTCCAGTTTCATCAGAACTAGCAAAGGCCCTGGGCAGTGGGCATGAAGCCAGGGAATCTGGGAAAAGGATCAAATAATTGATCAGTTGGGATTTCCAAAGATCAGTGAGAGCTCTGCACTGTATGCTTTTCCAAACACCGTGCCTCACTACTGCCCTGCTCCTGTGCTGGCACCTCCAGGCAGTGCCCATGTACATTGGTGAAGCCACCCCAGTCACTCTGTCACCCTCCTGTACATAAACATACTCACACCCCTACCTTCTGCGGGGCATCGTGTTCAGGGACGAGCCATTCCAATTCGGAGGCAGCTGGCAGCTGCATGCCCTCAAACTGCTTCAGCAAACCCATGGCCACAGCTTCTGCAGAGTTTGAATTGCCGAATGAGTGGGATCTAGCCAACAAAGGAACCAGTTAGTACTAGGAATCTCAAAGCTGTGCTGCTTCACATTCCTCCATTCTCTGATGCTATTCTCAGCTCAATCAAGGACACAGCTTTACACCTGTCCCAGATGAGAGAGAAAGGCAAGGGAAGCTCAGAGCCAGCAGCAAACCAGAAGCAAGGCAGGCCATATACTCCAAGTTATGCCAGCTCCTCTTCCTAGCCTCCTACTACTAGGAATTGTGCGGATCTCCCCAGACACAGCCACATCATATCTCATGTCCACATAGCATGTGAACGACCTTTATCATCCCAGGTGCTGCTTTCCAAATTCAAAAGTAGGACCCAGCTGTGTCTCACTGGTAAGAAAATGTAGGGATGGAGGGAGGGATGTGCAATCCAGTGCAAATCAGCAGCTGAAGCACGTGGAAGTAGAGCTGGGCAGGAAAGGGAACTGGGTACCAAGATGTCTCATTGCAAGTTGAATACGTACATGGACTCTGAGGAGAGAAAGGGCTTCCTGCTGGAGTCAGGGTTCCTCTTGATGTCTGCATCTGAATTAGAAACAAACACAATGGAGCAAACTGGGCAGAGCTGAAGGATACATTCACTCCAAACGGAAACTTCATTTTAAAACTCGTCAAGCTGTTTAAAAGCACATGAACTACAGCATCAGCTTCTAACAGTGATACAGAGCAGCAAGGAGAGGTGCAGCCAAATTAATCACCTGTTGGGAATTACAAGGTAAGGCACGGTGGGATGTTGCAAAAATACAGCCAGGGATTTGGGGTGACAAGTGGTGCAGGTCACACACCAAGTCCTAGTGGTTACACAGCCTGTAACAGTGCACACAGCTGGAGCTAGGAGGGCATAACAGCAAGGTTAGCTGGAAGGTTTAGTAGCTCTCTATACAGCACAGGTGCTGCAGGGCATTAGCAGTGGGATGCAGAACCCTCCTCCCTATTGAACCACACAACTCAAGATAAGTGGCTGTGCCACAGCTTGTCAGCTGCTGCATCACAGGCACTGGCAGCCTGAGTCCTGCACTCAAGAGACATAAGTCAGCATCCATGCAGCTGCAGGGATCAGTCCTATGCAGGGGAACAGAGCCATTAGGGTCTCTCTAGGAAGCAGAGATCCAAGATAAAGGTCCAGCTCCTTCCAGCCCTTAATGATCTCTGGAACCTGGGCTTCACCACATCCCTCCTCAGTGCCAGGATGTGGGCACCACAGCAGTACCCCAGTGGTACCTCCCCCCACACGTGGCTCTGGAGTCACTCTGCTCTGCTAGCCCAGGCAGATCAGTGACACAGACCATGCAGATCTGTCCAGGCACCAGCTCATCTTTGCTCTGCAGCAGAAAGCTAACACCCCGAGCCATCAGCTTTGCTAGCAAGAACAGGGTTGCTCCAGCAGAACAGGGAGAAAGAAGTTCTGAAGAAGTGCTCTCCTGGAGCAAATGACTCTGTCTTCAGCTGCTCCTGGCTTCAGAAAGGGAAGGGAAGGCTGAGCCTCGAAAGACCTTCACTAAGTTTAGAAACTCATGCTAGCAGAGGTCAACATGGACACACAACACTCTGTGTTTGACATCCACTGCTAGTAACTGACACACAAAAGCATCCTAATGCTAACAACTCCACGCATCTACATCATGCAAACAGACTTCTTGTTGCAGAAAACAGGGAACAGTCAAAATGAGCCTCCTAATCACATACCACACTGCAGACATATCTACCATGTTCTGAGGCCTTCGGTTCTGTGCAAGAAGACTTTGCATGACCCTAGAGTACAACAAACTCAAGCAAATAGTGGAGCACAGACAGTATAGGACAGGCCAAGCACTATGAGGAGATCTTGGGCAGAGCACTGCTATCATCTCAGGAAGTGCAGAGGGAGCCAGATCTGGCCCTAGGCTCCCCCAGGTGCTGGGATCCTGTCATCACTCCCTCCCCACTCCTAATTGCAGACACTCCTCAAAAGTCTCCGGTTAGCTGCCCCAAATGCCTCTGCTGCCAATGCTTTCACCATGTGGGACAGTCCCCAGGGAGTTGGTGAACAGCACATAAAGTCAGGGAAGTCACTTAGCCCCAAGCTGCCAGCTTCAGGCCAGGATGAGCCAACTCTGCATTGAATTCACAGGATACAGCAGGACTGATGGGAAGCTCTGAGCACCAGCATCTCCAGCAGGAGCAGCACACTGATGTCAAATGCCTGACAGCAGAGATCGGCAGCTAAGCAATACCAGGCTGCACATGATCGCAGCATCCAGGGCCTCCAATGGGTAAGAAACACTTCTGTTCCAGCTGTTCTCGCTACCTTTCCCTCAAAGACCTCTTTGTAGAAGGATTCTTCCCCAAGTCAGGTCTGGGCAGGAAGGGAAGGGCTGGCCAGAGTTTGAATCAGAGTCATTGCACGCCAGCTCTGTGGAATCAAGCAGGATGACTCTTCCCCAAGGCACCAACAGCATCAGAGTGCTTCAGTCCTGTGCTAGCTCTGCCTTGTGGCCAAAAGCTGGCAGTAGAGTCATTCAAAGAGCAAGGCCCCTTTCTTTGTGGTTCCCTCCTTGTCTTGCATATGATCAGAGAAGCAATTGTTTTCAGCAGGGCAGCTCCATTCAGAGCCTTGCATCATGTTGGAGGGCAGCACCTCTGGGATGGACCCCTGGTGCTGCAGCAGAGGACTGCTGTCACGGAGCCCAGCAGCTACAGAATTACAGAGCTATGCTTTTGCCTTCCTGAGTCCCACCCCAGGCTATACAGGTCTTCCAAGCAGCAGGCATGTTTTGTGTATTCAAAACACTGCATGGAAAAATGCCCTGCGGGACAATGCCCAGGCAGAGCTCCTCTGCTTCCTCTTTGCTCCCAACAAAACATCATCCTTCCAGAGCTCTTCTTGCTGACACTTGGATGACACTGTGTCACTGTTCCCAAATCAGAAAGCATGAAGAGCTGGTTTACGTGCACTGAGCTGTGAGGAAGAACAGCTGAAATATCCACACTGGTGACTTAGGCCAGGGCCCGACAGTAAATTTCAGTGATTTGTTGCCTGATCTGAAGCTGATCTCCTGATGAACTCGATACCTGATGAGCCTGTACAGAGATTGAGACCTCTGCGCTCCCTGCAACACCCTGAGGGGGCACACTGAGAACTGTGCACGTGCGAGGCACACACACGCACACACCTTGCACACACACGCACGCGTGCCAAGGGAGCACTGCAGGTACTACCTGAGAACAAGGAAGCCATTGACACTGAGAGGCCGTCCTTGGACATTTGAATCAGGTTAGATCCATCGTTACCATCTGTATAACACGGTGATGACAAAACAGGTCACTTCAGTGCTTTGGCCAGACCAAAGGGAAAGGGCATAACACAAAAGCAACACTCGCATGGGAGAATCCCAGAACTAAATTCACACACCTCTAAAGGGACTTCAAAACCAAGTCCAAAATCTAGCCCTCAGGAACTAAAATGGGGGCTTTGCTGTCAAGTCACAGACAAGAAGACTGAGAACTTTATAGACTGAGACTGGATTGCTCCATCTTCTCTCATCTCACCTCTAAAGTCTAAAGCATGACCGAGGTACTGCTGAGATATGAGCTCTCCATCCCAAAGGACAAAGGCTTCGAAGGAAGGGGATGACCAGGGACCTAAGGCAGGTCTCCTGCATGCAACAGGCTCAGCCGCACCAGTAGTCAGGAGCAGAGACTATAAGCAGTACAGGTCAGGATGTGACCAGCACCCGCTGCTCCCATTCAACACACAAGTCAGCTCCTACTGTCTGGGGAGGAAGAAAGCAGGGTGGCAGCCCTCCCATCTCTCCCTGGCTGTGATAGCTGCTCTGTAGACCTGGCAAGTGAAATGGAAACCACGTGCCAGTTCTGAATGCTAAAGGACTATAGAGGATTTTGAAGGAAAGTCATGCCACTACATGAGAGAAACTGGTTGCTCTGTTCATGCTCAGCATTCAGCCATTTGTTTGGGAAAAGCCATCCTGAAGGCCGAAGGGACATGCTCTCCTTTAGTGTGACTGACCTCAATGCAACCAGGCCCAGGAGAAGTCTGTCTCTATGCAAGAAGCTAATGCAGCCATTGCCTCTTACCTCGGATCTCGTACTCCTCCACATCCTCTGCAGAGCCCGAATCAGACAGGCGCATGGAGCCGTGGGAGCTGAACTGGGACTCGCTGTCTGTCGCCACAAGGCCTGGGAGGTAAAGGGAAGGCAACACAGCCAGGCCATCAGTGCGAGCAGCTGAACAGGGCACAGACAGCAAAGGGGTAAAGTGGTAGCCAGATGTGACCAGGGAAGGGTGGATGGCAAGGATGGAAAACAGGTTCTGTGGCTTCAAAATGAAACCACATTCCTTAACTCAGCGTCACCAGGGCACAAGTGTTACGCATATATGGTATCAGCCCCACTATGGTCTGTAATATGGCAGGGTTTCACAGATCTCTGCACCACCCTGTTAAAAATGAGCCCAAAAAACATCACCCACTGTCTGAGCCCATCTCCTGGCAGGTAGAGAACATGTGCTTGGTGCGGATCTGCTGGCGCCTAATGCGAATCTTTTGTTTGAGCTCCTGGATCTCCTTGTCGCTGTCTTCCTCTTCCTCCTCCAGCTGCCGGCTCATCATGTTGCATTTCATCAGCTCGATAGCAGCAATTAGTGACTCTGAGATGCTAAAATGAGCATTCTCCTGCAAGGCAAAAGCAAAAGTATTTGAGACTGTAGCACAGGGAAATTGGGAAGCCTTGGTAAAATATGGTTTAATATTTTCATCCAGAAAGGTGGCAGAAAGACCTTATATCTTTCTGACCCTATGAAGTCTCACTCTCCTATGAGAACCTAGAAATTAAAGCCTTTTGAGGCAACAGAATTGTTGCAAAACATAGGGCAAATCTTACAAAGTGGATGTGCAATATCTCCATTCTGGGGAGTAAGCACATGCCCGTAAGGAGCCACAACAGGCAGCCAAGTTGCTGCGTGAAACGCTAGATGGGCAAATCCTTGAGGCCAGCCATAAATGAGCAACTCAACTTGAAAGTTCTATGCCCAGCTCTATAGTAGGAAATATCATGTGATCATCTCCTCCACAGAGGAAGGCACTGAATCTGCAGTAAAATTTCTCCAGAGCACACATGCTGCTGCCATCCTCACCTTCTCCAGATCTGCACAGCTGCCAAAGTCCTGCTCAGAGAGGTAACTGATGAGGGACTGCCCTTCTGAGGGTCTTCTGAACATCCCTTCTCCCGAGCTCAGGTACTGGCCAGAGTCTAGAAAAGCAAGACAGGAACATTATGAAGGAAGGACCAGCAAATCCACTGCTCCAAGCACTGGATAACAGCCCATGCTCTGTGTCAACACACTGGCTAGTTCACACAGTCAACAGCTGTCTATCCCACTCTACAGACAGAACTGGATCCAGCTTCATCCACTCTAATGGAGAACAGTGACCAACACAAAGCCATTACAATGACAGCAGGCATCCTGAAACCATCCAGCCCTCCTGAACATCCCACCCTAAGCAGGAAGGAGCAGGAGATGACTGTTCTGGCTGCTATCAGATGCTCTCCTGCTTCTCTGTGGCTCTTGGGCAGGAGGCAGCAGTAATTTTGGAACAATGACTAGGACCAGCTCTACCCTGGAGCACAAGGAGACCTTGACCTCAGGCAGCCCTAGGGCACCACCACAGCACATCATTAATAATCATCATCCCCACACATCCTGGGCAGAGCTGCTAAGATAGCAACCACAAAAATACTCCTGGCAGGCCCTCATAGCAGCCTTCAGGTAGCCAATGTTTGTTATTCGGGATAAAAAGAAAGAGAAGGCATATGCCAAATAACAAAACAATATGAATAACAGACATGCTCTAGCATACTGTAGGTAGCAGAGTGGATCACACCCATGCCAAAAGGAAAAACTTTTAATGAGTTGCTCAGCATCGATGCTGCTGGACCCACAGAGGCTCCTGCAGAGCCCACATCTGAGCACTGCAGTGAGTCCTCATTCACCCAGAAGGCCAGACAGACCTTCAGGGTGCAATCCCCAAGCTAACAAGCCTTTCCAGTTCCCAACCAGCTCACTACAAGCCAGCTCCTGCATGCCTGCATCCCACAAGCAGGTGCCTGAAGCTGAGGCCACTACAGTGCATGCCCAGGAGCAAACATCTTCACTGATGCTCACTGTACTCACCATACTCCATGTAGAGGGAGCTGGGTGTGCTCAGTTCGCTGCTCTGGGTGGAACCAGAGACAGTCCCTCTTCCTCCACCTGTATCAGCATGGGACTCTGCAAGGGAACAAGACAGCACCAGGCACATGTCAGCAATCCAGAAGTGCCCAGCCCAGAGCATGGTGTGAAATGAAAGGAGATCATCATCATATGGATGGGCACAAATGGATGGGAATCAATACGGGAAATCCTCCACTTGGCTCACCTGCTCTGTGCCATGCCTGAAGTCAAGCCCAAGAGGGAAGACAACTAGAGGGGCATTTTAGGCAGCAGGGGATGGATGAAAGGGAAAGAAGAAAAGGCCATGACAACTACGGATCAGTCAAGTCCCGAGCCTTCTTCTCTTTATGCCCTGCAAATCTGGGGAATGCAATACTTCCTGCAAGCACCTCTGACAGCTCCATCTTCCTCCTGGAGCAGCTCCAAGGAAGAGTCACCCCACAGGGCTGGGACACGAGACAAGGGGCCAAAGGACCTGTAGGGCTTGTGGCCTGGACAAGGGTGGAAGGAGGCATCTGAAGGACACACTCTTGCTCAGCTGGGAAAACCCAGGGTTCCCTGCACTCAGCCCAAGAGCCAGGATCACAGTGCTCAAGGTCACCTCCTCACACATGCTGCAGGGCTGCACACTGCCAGGCAGAGCTGGTGGGGACCGCCAGGAGCTGGCCTCACTGGGGACAAACAACCACCAGTGTTTTGCAGACAGCAAGGCTCCAGAGAGCAGCTGATTTGGCTGGGAATGCCCAAAAACACCCTAGAGCTGGAAAGCAGCACCCTGCAACCCCTGCTGAAGCCAGAGCCAGAGCAAGGAACAGGGCTAGGCACATCTGTCCCTGCTCCTGCCAACTCTAGAAGGAGCCTTCCCAGCCATGGACTGCTCAGCACTCAGTCCCATCAGCATCAAACTGCCCCCTGCTGCAAATCTACCCCATGAAATGTATCACATTGAAGCCCACGCCTTCAGGGCTATCAGCCCTTGGCCACCAGGGGCAACCTCTTCTGGCTCCCAGAGTAATGTGGGGGAGGAGAGGGCAAGGGAAGAAGCTCAGGGACTTGCTGGTCAGCACTTCGTAATGCCATGCAGGAGAGCTGGGTGCCAGCCTTGGTCTGGACCACTGCTGCCAAAAACCAAGCTGGGATCTTCAGTCAGGCCACATGCATAAATCTGAGGCACCTTCAAAGCACCTGGGACTCCTGGGAGAAAAAAATTTTTGTTTGCTTTCTAAATGGATACTAATGGGTTGATGGAAATTCTGAACTGAATGCAGTGATCACTCATGAAAGGCTGTTTTGCTGGCTCCCAAACCTGCCACTGGATCTTCTATTATAATGGTGATATCCCTGAGGCCTCCTGGACAGACAGAGGAGGAAGAGGGCAGCATTAAGGGAGAGAAAACAGAGACAGACTGGTTACTACGCAGCAAGAACTTTTGTTTCTCCCACGTAGGCAGCACCACTGGGACTGACTCCCACAAAATGGTTGTCCCTTCACTCCCAAATCTTCCCATCATGCATTCACACACTCAAGAGCACAGGAGAGCCCAGCAGGTTACTAGTACCATGACAAGAGGATCCCAAGACTGCCATGGCTCTATCCCCTAAGTGGACAGGACCACAGGGAAAGGAGAACAGCTAATTCTGCAGCATCCCTGCTCTTTGCTAAGTTTCCAGTGAAATCCACAGCAGAGCTGCTAACACCAAAACTAGACTGGCCCAGGGCATTCTGATGTCAGCCCATCACTCCAGTGTGGAGCAGGAAGATGGAGGGTAACAATCAAACCTCCAAAATGCTTGCCCACTGCTCCCCTTGCTCATCTGACACGCGGAGTTGAAGGGACAGCCAACATCCCGATAGTGGTGACTCCCACCTGGCCATAGTCCCACCACTGTGCCCACACCCCACAACCACCCCATGCACCGAGCAAAGTAACCCCATTACCATGCAATTTCCCCGAAGCCACATTGGTGTCAGAGTGTGAGCGCAGATGGCTCTTCTTGAGGATGCCCTGCGACACCGATGACTGTCCCTCTGAAAAGCTGGACCGGCGCAACAGGCCCAAGCCTCTGCTGCCACATCCGTTCGCCCCCCGGTCCCCTGAGTCCAGCTTCTGGGAGCTGCTAGAGGAGAACATGTTGGAGCTGCTGCTCTTACTGCTGCTGGTGCTGGTGCTGCTGCAGGCCCGGCCCCGGCGCCCCAAGTTCCCAATGGCCAGGTACTCCGGCCCATCGTTAGCATCGCTTTGTGGATCATCCTGACTCCCTGCCCAAGTGTCCTCGCTCTGGCTGGTGGTGCTGGAACTCATCTCGCTGGCTGGGGAGAAGGGGTCTTTGGGTGAGGGGATGTGGGATGGAGGGACAGCGCTGGGCTGCTCCAAAGGAGATCTGCCCTCACTGAAGGAGGAGGACCGGGAGGCCAGGCAGTGTTCCTGGGGTTGGCTGGAGCTGGAGCTGATGGAGGAGCTTGCTGGTCTCCTGTCTGGACAGAGAGAAGAAAAGGATGTCATGCATCCTCTGTGTGACTCCCTGAGCCAGCAAGGAGCCCAGCCTGAGCTTCCAGCACCCCTGATTACCTGGAAGGCCAGAGGAGGCCGGGTGAGGCAGACTGGAGAAGGACCCGCAGTGGTGCTGCTTCATGCAGCCTGGAGACAGGGTATAGAAAGACCCAGGAAGCGCAGTCAGGCTCTGACTCTTTGTCACTGGAGACAGACCTTCACCCTTCCTGGTGAGCTAAGAGAGGAAGCATCAATAAATCAGCATCTCAAAGAATCAGCTTAAGAGACAGAAAAAACTGGACCTGCAGGGCCTGCACAAGCACCTGGTTACCAGCCAGCACAGCCCTGGGGCTGCAGGATGGGAGAAACACGCTGCAGCAAAGAAGGGAAGCAGCTCTTTATGCACAGCGAAGCAGCAAGCTCCATCTGGAAATTACCAGGCTCTCAGCGAGATGATCCAGGCAGCCCAGTGCCCCAGGCAGGCGGCTCTGCTGTCCTATAGCATCGTGGTCACACATCTCTCCTGTCCCAGCAGAGGGACCTGAGGAGCACACGGAGGGCAGTGATGTGCCGGCCAGCTGAAAGAACACAGACCCTATTTAATGAAGCATCATTAATTACTCTCCTCTGGGAAGCTCTTCGCAAAGAAAGCAGCTGTTGTTCCCTTCTGAGGAGAGGGCAGCTGGCACTGGGAGGCACTGGGCTGGTGGTGTCTCCAGCAGGAGGGGGAATCTGGCTGTCCTGGGTGCTGCCCAGCCCTCTCAATGTGGCTGGCCCTGAAGCCTCGGTCTTTTGGAGATTACTTTAGAGGTGTCTCTTAAAAGGATATGGTTCCTGAGCCTCATATTCAGATTCTTGATGACAGCCAGAACCGAGATGCCTCACTACAGACATCTCCTCCCATCCCCCCAACGCTTTCCTATTGCTATTTCCAAGTCCAGGCCCTTATCCAAGGGTTCTGTGTGCTCTGAATGCAATATTGTATGAGCAGCCACAGCCGTACAGCATTTAGGGAGGGCCAGATGCAGAAGCCAGGGGTCTCAGCTCACCATGGATGTGTCGATCTGAGCCAGCAGCCTGGGGTTGTTCTGCTCGACAGCCTCCAGGCACTGCAGCATGGCTGTGACGTGGGCGTCACTAAGCAGGAAGGCTGTGTCTGCAGAGAGAGAATTGCTGTCAGGGGGCTTTCTCCCCACCACCACCAGCATGAGGGTAGCAGGAATTATATGATGCTCTTCCTGCAGCAGTCCACAAGGAAAAAATTGTCAGAAAAGCCACCAAGGTGCTGAATATAAAACTTGGCAATTTTAGGAAAAACCTACACGAAGAGGAGGAGATGAGAGCCTTCCTCACCCAGCCAAAACCTGAGCCAAAAGATCTGCATTCCAAATTATTGTATCTGGTTCAAGGTTTTGTCTTAATTTGGGGGCTATCGAAAAACTTCTCTTCACTACTCTGAAATACAAGATTAAAGAAAGATGCTGTCCCAGATCAGTTTAGATATCTTTGTCCTTGCTATCTATCTGTACTTTTTGACAAATTCTCAAGTTTTCACAAAAGTTCCTAATGTGCATGAACGGGCTACAATTTTCACCTACAAAGGAGAAATACAGCTGCGTTTCCACACATCACCAGAGGTCAGACCTTCATCTCTTTGATTAGAAATATTCCAGGGAAGGGAAAAAAAAAACAAACATTATTTGAAACAGATTCAAAATTGACTTTCTTCACACATTTTATTTCTTTGTAATGGGAAATGCATATCTCCAAGTTTGCAGACCGGGACATGGGCTTGAGACCAGACTGCTTGACTACCTGCAGCAGAAACCTTTGAGCCCATGCAAAAAAGCTGCTACAGCCTGATCTCCAAAGAGAAAGAAAATGAGAATATTCAACACATTCAGACTTGCTCAAGCTCCTGTTAGGGCAGCAAGGAGGACCCAGACAAGCAGGACGGAGCATGCTGCAGACAAGCTCACTGCAGAAAACTAAAACTCAGCTCTTCTGACCTGCATCCATGCATAGACAGTATGGACACAGCACGCTTTGTCTGACAGCACAGATTGCACAGATGCAAACTACCTTTTCTGCTGCTCCCCTCAAGCGTGACTTGGAAAATCTGTTTTCATACAAGGATGAAAAAGACCCATTTCTACTTACTTACCTGCGTAGAACTTCCTTATGTACTGCCTGTTCCCCAGGAGAGGTCTGAGTTGTGCCGAGAGGCAGTGGAACTGCAGGCTGTGCTGCAGCCACAGCTGTGCAATAGCTTGGTCACTGTGGCTGTCTGGGCTGGGCTGGCTGTTCTCATGCAGGCTGATGAACTGGAAATGAACCAAGAAGGCACAAGCTAGGGCAAGAAGAAGTAAGCAGAGGAGCAGGGATCGTTCCTCCTCACAGCTCTGCAGCGCCAGGCACTGTTGGTGAGAATGCAGTCACATCCGAGCAGCCACCAAGGGAGCACAGGGAGACAAAAGCATCGGAGGGGAACAACACTTCAAAGGTCAGCCAGCACCGGTGACCAAAGTCCTACCCACAGCCACCAGCAATATGAATTTCAATGGCATGTTCTCCTACCCCTGACCTGGAGGGACCCCACACTCCCAAATCTAATTGCTTTCCTGTGGTGACGGTCATGTTCTTGCTGACACATTAACTGATGTGAACATTTTTGCTGCTCTACAGCCGACTACAATGGAGAGCATGAAATCTGTTCATATGTGACAAAGAGCAGCGTGGCGCCTTCAGGTCTCAGGGCACTGAGGGCTGAGAGCGTCCCTGTGTATCAGCAAACAGCAAAAGCCAGGCACAGAAGAGCCAAATGAATGGTCAAGACCAATATTCAACACAGAAATGGAACAGATGAAACCTCTGGAGATTTGTACAACAGCATAAATCCCCGCTGTGTGCACAGAAGCATTTTGTGCCAATTCCCTTGGTGATGCCTGCTGTACCCAACCAAGTGAAGCTGGAGGCCAGCCTGTGGGAAATAAGCAGCTGACTGTCTAACCCTAAACCACACCAAGTTCCTGGGATGTGGCTCACACACAACCACAGTGCTAGTTTGTCCATCATCAGTGGGTTCACAGCCCAGCTGCCTGCCTCCCCCAGGCTGGGCACACCAAGGCACCCACCACAACTCACCTTCTCCAGGTGATGAGCAGAGGTGGGACTCAGCCGGCGGATGTCCTTCACGAACTGCCAGTAATCCTTCTGCCTGCAGTACACCTGCTGAGAGAGGCTTGGTTAGAACCCACCATACACACGAGCCTCGAGTGACACCACAATGATAGTACAGCTGGCTTAGAGAGCAAGGAGAGGGCGTTCAACCCAGAACCTGTCAGGAGCTCCCACATCACTGGTCCCTCCTGCCAGAGATGGACCTGGAGCAGCAGGCAACACAAAACACATCCCAGCAGAACCTGCAACAACCGCTGTCCTCCCATGCCAGTCACCAACAAGGACACACCAGCATGGCTGAGCACCACAGATAAGAAATGTGATGCAGCACGTTCTTGGCATTGCATTCCTATCAGCTCCTTACTGCTGTTTGCCTTGGCTCTGTTCAGGCAGTGAGTTATTTCTTCTTAGTTATTCTTCCAGTCAAAGAGGAACTGCACAAGAATTGTTTTCCTCAACACTTTATCGTGTTTAAGCACAGCCCCAACTGTCTCTCTTTCAAAAAAAGCTGATTTTTTTTCCTCCATCTCTGCTTCCTCTTTCACAAGTGTCAGAGGAAGGGGTTTTGTTTTGTGGTTTACTTGTTTGGAGGGGATATTTTTTCTGTTGTTTCTATTTTTAAGTCCAAAGCGCCAACACAGACATTTTATCCCTTTATATTCAATTGGGGTTTTCTGGATAAAATAATAAAATTCATACAATAGTTTAAAACTATCTTATAATGTACATACAGATTTTTTATTGTTTTATTTTATTTCTAGTCACAGCAAAAAAAATCTGTTACAAAAATACATAACTAAAAGGAAGTTTCTCTGGAGTAAGTATAAGAAAAATCCTGCTAGGAAGCTGTACTTCTATGGGCCTCCCTTTGTAGCTAGTACAGATGGAGTACATAGGAGTATACAAATATATAGACATACGTATATATATATAGAGAGAGGGGGTATATATAGGAAAGCATTTCTAAGAAAGAACTGCCTTTGCACATAGCATCGAGAACACCACTGTGCTGCCCTACTTTGCAGGTATCTATTTCCTCAAGCTGTGGCATGAACTGTTACCAACACACAGACAGGCAGAAATCATTCCAATCTCACTTCCAAAGCCTATGAATAGCATGTCTATCAGAAAAGAGCACTGTACTCCTCATATTTAAAGGGTAACTTCTCTCTTTGCTCAAAGGAGATTGCTGGTCCACACCGCTGCAGACTGACAGCACATGGCATCACTTGACCAAGTGCTGTGTGCAGCTCTCAGATCCAAATAGCAAAGCTGAGATTGACTTTCCATCACATACATGGAGTTTTACAGCTCCTGGGCCCCAACTGTGCAGCCTTCCTGGCTCCTCTGCACCTGGAGATGTCTGCAGCATTGGAGCTGGTGGGAACGCTGCCCAAGGCATGCCCTGCAGGCTTGATGTAATTCTTATTGAGAAACAACTGCTGTAATTGCAAGCTGAGGGGAGATCTTCAGCATCTGCAGAGGCTCTCCAGAGCAGGAAGGAAAAATTCTTCCCAGCAGTCATGGAGATGGGGACAGCTGGATGAGAATGGTAGAAGCTGGATACAGGCCCCTTTCACACAGAGCACAGATCCGGCTGCCAGCCCCACTATTCACACAGCTAACCAGAACCAGCCAAGGTCTGAGGCTTCTCTTGCCAGGCCTCGCTGGGGAGTTGTCCAAGTACACACAACGGGAGGTTGGCTCGTGGCACACACCGCACTATCGCTTTGCTGCAGGATGCAGTGCGGCCAAGGGAGGAGTAGGCCTCCCCTCAGCAAAAACAGCTCAAAAGCTCATGTGATGGAAGGAACACGGGCACAAGGCCTTCTGAGGCAAGCTCAGCTCCTGCCACAGGACCGTGGTGTGGGTGGGACTGAGGCCTACCTTGTCGTGGATGAGCCCATGGTACAGGATGCTGTGCATGTCCCTGCAGAGCCGCTCCAGGCCGCCATACTTGGACCAGACGTTGGGATTGCTGGTGGACACCAACCCTTCCACTGTGGTCTTCAGGTTGCCCAGCAGCTTCCAGTGCTCTTTCCTGCAGAGGAACACAGTGGGTTGCCTAATGAGCACCAGATTCAGGGCACAGGGAGCTTCACAGCAGGCCAAGCTCACTCCAAAGTGGTCAGAGTGAAACCTTTGGTGGTTGCAACGTATGCATTTCATAGATTCCTAAACCACAAAATCACAGAATGGCTTGAGTGAAAAGGAACCTATAACCCCAGCCAGTCCCAACCCTTGCCGTGGGCTGGGTGCCCCCACCAGCTCAGGCTGCCCAGGGCCCAGCCAACCCGGCCTTAAATGCCAAAATGTGCATTTCTGCAGGGTCTTAACGAAAGCTTTGGAGATAGCGGTCTAGAACGAAAGTTTAACCTTTACATTGGCAAGAGTGTTTCAGCCATCCGAAATCAAACAGATTGCCAAAATAAACAAAACAAACAAATTTAAAAAAAAAAAAAAAAAAAGGAAAAACTGCTTTTGTTTTTGTCCTCATGGATTAAAGTGTGGGCTGCAAATTTCTTGCAGCGCAAAGAAGCATGCTATCAAGCAATATAATCCCACTACTTAAAAATAAGCTTTTCTTGAAAATATTCCCATTTTGAGAGTGCTTTATTATTTCGAAACTGATTAAGTGAACAAGCAGATAATAAAATACTGGCTCTGCTTCAAGCTCCCCTGTAGCAGGTCTGTCTAGGGGAACCTTGCTGGCTTTAGCATTTACCTAAGCTTAGCTCACCAGGCAGCCCAGCCAGCCAGCAAAGCTTGTCACTTGTCACAGCAGCTCTGCAGCCAGGCTGCAATTCATCAGCAAGCCTGAACACACTGTGAACAACATATCAGCAGGAATGTGCTCCTCACGCACAGCTTGATAACACCACAGCTGCCCAGGAGAGAGGAAGCCCTGTGCAGGGCTGTGAAAGATGCACTGCAGGAATTCCTAGAGCTGCACATTGCAATCAATGCCATATCATATTCTGCTGTTTGTAGCCCCATCCTCTCTGCCACAATAATGGTAGAGAGAATGAAGCATGAGGAAATGCAACTAAGGGGAACGAGGCAGAAGGAAATTCCCAGCAAATCAGCCAGCCTGTGAAAGGCTGGAGAACTGCTAAATTGAGATGTTTTTACATTGCATGAGACTGAGCAGGTAAATGTTAATAGATCCAGAGAAAAATTCAACAATGGAGACGTGTTTGCCTCTAGCCCCCCAGGTTTATACTGGCTCGTGCCTGGACAATGGCAGTTGTTTTCAGATCAGCCTAAAGATCAGAGTTTAATCACAGATTCCCAGCAAGCAGGTTTATCTCAGGAGAGAATGAACTAAACCAAAGGTAGAGTCCTGGAGGAGATGTGACCTGAAGAGACAGAGCAGACCTCATTCATCTGAACCAAGAGGCTTTTCCAGTCCTGCCCCCCCACACCAAGCTCTGAGCAGCGGCACTGTCCCTGGCCACAGAGCAGCTGCCAGACACAGAGCTCCACCAGCTCCTCCCCAAGGTCCTTCCAACACTCAGAGTGAGGAAATGCAAGTGAAAGCTCAGCTGCGCTGCTCACTTTCCAGGTCTGTGAGTCAGGGAAACTCCCACCTCGTTATTTTGTGCTATAAAAAGCGTGCAACGAGCACAGAGATGCAGGGCAGCAGAGCTTTGTGCTCCAAGAGCCATCTCACTGCAGGGGCAGCTGTGCTCCCTAAGAGGTTGGGAAATGGGGACCCCAACAGAAAGAAACCCTCACACAAAATAACATAACAGTGCCTCTGCCACTGCACTCAGCACGCAGGAAAACAGTGAGCACAATTAGAGCACCTTGGCAGAGATGATTCAGAACCTCCCAAAACTCAATTAAATCCCTCAGTCAACAGAGAGACTCCCACTGGATGGGATTCATTGGCCCAAATGATTCAAAAGCATTTCACAAGTCGGACGCTTAGGACTCTACCCATTCCCATTGGACTCTATCCATGCAGCTGCTGCCTCTGGGCTGGAACATGGTGCATGCAGGAAAGCATGCAGTGACACAAGCCCAAATAAAAGAAGACCCATACACCTGGCTGCAGGTGATAGCGATGCAACACACAGCTAACTGCCCTCAGCTTGGCCTGGACTCACAGGTTAACCCTTAATCTGTGGCAGGATCTGCTCCTCTCTCACTGACAGAGATGCCAGGAGGGATAGAAAAAGACAGGGTGCCAGCTGCCCTCCAGTTCCCCATTTCAGCAGGTGTTCAGAGCAGTACTGAGAAATCTGCTTGCTTTTATACCAAATAAGGAGAATTATTTGCTAGCTGTTGTAAAAAAAAGCTTCACTCACCCTGACCTGACAAAGGGGTAAGGCAAATTCAAATCACAGCACGAAAATACTTCTTCTTCCAGGAAGGACAAAGCAAGCAATACGCCCAGGAGAGGTCACAGTACATGAGCAGACACTCGCCTGCAAGGGACATGTGTGCAGCTTTCCCTGTGCCCTAGAACAGCCTGCTTTCCCTATCCATATCAGCTGAGCGTGTTTGCATAGCTCCTCACTGTACCCCAAATGCTGGGCTGGGGAGAAAGGAAGAGAGCTGGCAGGACAGGGGTCAGCCTGCTCAATACATGGGGCACCACCCGAAGCAGCTCAGCTGGAGTCAGGGATGTGCTTGAATGCACTGTGATTTATGTTTTCCAGGCAAGAATCAGGACGTGGTTGGACTGCAAAGGAGATGCTGAGAAAAAACAGCTCGAGCTCAACAGGAGCAGCAGCATTTCCTTGGGGAAAGCATGGCTGGGGTGTGGCTGCACTAAATGGGGTTATAGTCTGAAAGCTGTTCTGGTGCACCGCTTCACACAGGAAAAAAGATAATTCAGCCCTGGACATGCTGAAAAATGAATTGGTCATTATATGAGAGCCTGATAACACCGGATATCAGTGAGACCGCAGGCAATCTCTCTCCTTCCCTACGTACACCCTCTGACTCAGCCCCCACTTCCAACCACCAGCTCCGTGGATCTGGGCACTCCCTCTCCTTACTTTACCACACCAGTTCTGTTCCAGATACAGTCAGACCAATCTGTGGTCAGGAATTGTTCCAAACAGAACCGAAACTTTTGCTTTGCAGTAAGAAAAGAAGGAATAGAGCCTTGCAGCTGGAAATCACTTAATGGCACTGCTGATGAAAATGATGGGGAAATTCTGCAGGAAATTCTGCTTGTGCTCCCAGGGCTTTCTCAGTCCTTCCATGCTAGCTAGGGCAAGAACAGCTCCCAGCCCAAGTCAGCAGGGGTGACTCAGGGCAGGTGCAGGGAACAACGCTGCTGAGTCAGGTAAGCTTCATTTAAAAGAAAAAAAAACATCAAACCAGAATCACAGTAGATGACATCCCCAAACCCGAAGCCTTCTTACCAACCATGTGTGCTGTGTGCACCCCAATGCTCTGTAGGATGCACCAAGGAATGGCTGCTCTCTACCTGGAGGCATCGCCTGATCCTTCTTAGCACACTAAGGAGCTTGGACTGAGGGTGCTGGGGTCATTTGTGGGCAACAGCAGGGTGACTTCTGCTACATTTCCCAGGGACACAGCCTGCAGCTCCCAGGGCAGCAGGTACAAGTGGCTGTGTGCATGCTGCTATATGCATGGGTTCCCCTGACAACAAGCAGCAAATTTCCTTCTGCTTTGCTGCCTGCTCGGTGCTTCTGGGAAAAGAAATTAAAGAAATGCTGGCTTCGTGCGATTCATCCACAGCAATGGCAAGTGGCTCACAAGGCAAAGGGCTCCCCTCGCCCCACAGCACCCTGCCTGCCAGAGAAACCCTGGGCCACAACTTAGGGCATCTCACTGGGAATTAGGATGCCACACCATTTGCACATGGGACAATGAAGCTACGCCAGGCCCCTGCCAGAATCCTCCCCTAAAACCTAAACCCAGCTCACACAGCTCTGTGTGCAGGCAGCAGAGGGGACGGTGCCACCTCTCCCCCAGAGCTGTGGCACAGCGTCAGCCCCGTACAATGCACAGTGATGCAGACTGGCAGAGCAGAACCACTGCCTGTGGAGGTGAGAACAGCACTGAGATGGTTCTGGAAAGAAGCAAAGCAGACACAGACACTCCATGCCTTTCACCACCCAGCCTTTCTGCACCTGAGGGTCTGAAACATCGGTTCAGTAAGGGTTAGCAAACCACGCTGCCCAAGCAGGCAGCCCGAGCCTGCGCTATGGTTCTAAAAGCACCGGCTGCACTCTTGCAGATCCCGCCGGCAGAGCAGCCCGGGCGCAGAGGCTGTCAGATAAGGAACGCCGCTCTCCCGGATCAGATTTCAGCGAACCTCTCCTCTCGGCTGACATCCGTGCTGCGCTCCTGACTCGAGCACAAACCACAGACCTGCGAAAACCTGGAGCGAATGGGAATTGCATCGGAACGCCTCCGGGCGCGGGGTTTGTTACCCGCACAGAGCCGTGCCCCAGCCCGACCCGGGGGACTCGGGGCGCTCCGCAGCGCCGCTCCCACCTGTCACGGCCACGTGCGCTCAGCGGGAGCCCGACGTTTGGATTCGTACAGAGGCTGAAGCGATGCCCGCAGCCCGATCGAGGGCGGCACGGCAATCCGAGCCCGGCGAGCTGCGTGGGCATCGGCGCGGCGGAAGCCTGGCGGCTGCCACCAGCCCGTGTCCCCGTCCCCACGCGTGTCCTCGCCCAGCTACAATCACACGCCGCCGCCGTCCCCCCGCGCACCGATCCCCCCAGCGCGTCCCGTCCGCGCTGCGATCGCCGCGTGTCGCGGTTCCCTCCCACGCGCGCCCCCACCTGCTCTCCGCGCGCCCCCCACGGGGCTCGACCTCCATCCCCGGCGCGCGCGGCCCCGCCGCCGCCACCGCCCCGCCGCTGTCACGTGGAGGGGGAGCGCCCGCCCCGCCCCCTGGCTTCAGTCATGGCCGCCACAGAACTACAACTCCCGGCATGCCCCGCGGCCCCCCGCCACTCTGCGCTTCCCAGCGCGCCCCGCGCGGAGCAATGACTACAGCTCCCGGCAGGAGGTGCGCGCAGTCGGGTGGGTCATGTGGCGTTGCAACTGTGCCTTCGCGGGGTTCGCGCTCCGCTTTGCCCGGTACGTGGGCACGGTGCTTGGCTGCGCCCTGCGGGGTGAGTCCTGAGCCGCCTCTAAAGAGCTGTTAGCGCTGGGGATGAGCTGCGTGGCGGTGTTAAACCGCGGTAATTCCTCACCGGGATAACCGCTCACAGCATCCTGCACCGGCGAGGGTGAGAACGTGGGAAGGCAGAAACAAAAGCCGCAGCACCGGTCAGCACGGTGCTCGGGTGCCTGGCACAGAGCTGGGTGCCAAGGAGCTCTGCAGTGCAGAGCGGTGCAGGGGGTGTGGAAAAGGCAGCACGGCTGCGGGGCTTTCTGCCGGTGAAATGAAACTTAAAAGGGGAAGAACTGCCGCTGAGCTGAGAGCCGCCAGTGCCAGGTTGCAGGGGTGATAACAGCTCTGTGTGTCTGCAGTTGTTCGATGCCTCAGAGACAGAAGGTTTCTGCCGTCTTTTGCATAGCGAGAGCTTCCTGTGGCCGTGCTCTGAATTGCAGGCGCTGCTCACTGCTGTGTGCGTGCCGTATGGAGCCATCATCACTTGACCACGTACAGGCACAACCCCGACAGAAAACCAGGAGCTGATGTTTCTTTGAGCACCTCTACCATCCTCATGTTATTGTAGCCATTTAGATCACCATGAAAATACTCCTCAGCATTGTTTGTTTGAATTTCTGTTGGCCTCAACAGGTGACAGCTGGTCTCCCGTTTGGATAATAAATGCAGCGAATGGATGTGGTACAATCTGGATTTTGTCTGACTTCCACCTGCCATGAGAGCAGGCAGCATCTGCCATCTTTGAGGTTAGCATGTTTGTTTTGGGTAAATGGCATTTGTTTGTCAGTGTGGCACAGTCACCAGATGGAGCTGCACCCTATAGCATCACAGGAACTTGGCTTAAAGGTTTTGGTTTGTTTGTTTGTTTTTTTTAGTGCACATTTTATTTAAGAATTCCGTTATTAGTGCTTATCAGTAATCTGCTGATGTCATCTTTCCTTTAGTAATGTAACGTTTAAGAACCTGAACTCCTGCTTGTCATTAAGAGAAAAATGCATCTATTATCAAATATGCAGCTCCAAGACCCCTTTTCTGAACTTATGCAGCACGTAGGGGTTGGCAGAAGAAAATGGGGGTAGTACTCACAGCCTTCTGCACTGTGGTTATGAGCTCCTGCTTAGATGAAGGGAAAATCTCTCACCAGCTGAAGGTATCCTATGGCATTAACTGAGCCATTCTTTGCTAGCCAGTATAATTCAGCAAGTGGGACATCCAGAATCACTTTGTTGGCCTTACGTTAAAAGGAAGAGATGCATAAACTGATGGAATGAGGCCTTGATAGTAATCTGCAGCACTTTGATACTGCATTTCTCTGATCTGAGGTCACGCAGCAGGCTGGGGCTGTGACAGGGGATGACCGCTGTGAGCAGGGGAAGCTGATAAGGATTTTCCTTTCAGCATTTATCGCCAGGTTCTGAGGGAAGCCGGGCGTGCGTGATTGTTTTTGCCTATCTGCTCCTTCCTTTGGTAGCTCTGGAACTCGCTGACTGGTTTCAACCAGCCAGATGTAGGCATTTCAATGGCAACTGCAGTCCCTAAATAGAGAGCTCCATAAGAGAAAGGAAAGAAACGGCACTGAGTGCAGAGGCAGATCCCTGCCTCACTGAGCGACTGCTGACCCCTCAGCAACGCGTTTCCAAGGGATGGAAATACACAATTAAAGAAAAAAAAAAAGGCCTTGCTATCATCACCAATGGGCCTCGCCATCTCCGCCTTCCCCACAGGCGCAGGCCCTGTGGCAGAGGACAGCCCCGGGACGTCGCAGCGCACCCACAACCGCCTCCGCCCGCGCCCCCCGCCTCGCTGTACCTGCTCCTCCCGGCCGCCAGGGGGCGCCGTGCCAATTCCCGCGCGGGAGGGGTGGAAGAGGCAGCACCTTTCCTCGGCGCAGGCGTTCCCTCTCGCGGCTGAGGAGTGGTTGCCGCGCATGCGTCGTGGGCGCGTCTGAGATGACGGCGTTCGGAGGGGGTTGCGGCGCATGCGCCGTTCGCACTCTGCGCATGCGCACGTCCCGCTCGCGGTCGATTGGAGGCGGTCGCGGGGAGACGGCGGTGGTCGTACGGGCGGCCATGAGCGGGTTCGGGGTCGCGGCGTTGCCGTCCGGATCCTCGGCCGCCGCTGGGACCCGGAGCGGCAGCAGCGACAGCCTGGAGAAGATCGACATGTCGTTGGGTGAGCCGGGCGGCGCGGGGAAGCGTGAGGGGCTGCGGCTGATCCGAGCGCTGGGTGGGGGGTGGGCGGGGCGGGGGTCGGCCGGTCGAGCCGCGCTGCCGGCGGCGTCGGAAGCTGGTGAGCTGCCGGGCGTCCTCTGGAGCTCGGCGGAGCTGCTCCGTCAGACGGATAAAGCGAGTGTCCCGTGCTGTGCGGTGGCCCGGCAGTGCCACCAGCAGCTGCGGTCGTGTGCTCCAGGCTGCTCTGTCCCTGCTGCGTTGGGGCTGAGAGACCTGCTTGGGAAACTGAAACCAGGCGACCTGGCCTTTGTGGGTCACCTTATGTGCGTCCTCTTACTGCGTGTGTGCCCGCTGTGGGCAGTCCGGCGTTGCTCTTTGTTCCCGTGGTGGAGACGATTTGGGAAATGATGGTTAGGGTTCTTCTGAATGTGGAGCAGCACTGCAGCATTTCTCTGCGTCTCCTTATGGAGCAGCACGCTGAATCTCTATACCCAAGCAAGGTTACTAGAAATAACTCCATCAGCTCTCACTGGTCAGCTATTTTCATAAAGTGGAACGTTTTCTTCTTTTTCTTTTGAGTTTACCACTGCTCTGTGTTCTGGACGTTGACTGACAACAGGTGGCAGAGAATCGTTGTGCTGTCGTGGTGACGTTGTGTTTACCAAACTCTCCTGCGTGGCAGTGACCCTTGACTTGCTCAGTTGCAAGGCATGAGAGCAGTTTCATTTGTGTCTCCTGCCTCTGAGTTGCAATTTATGGCTGGCTGGAGGCAAAGATGCGGTCCCACATCTGGCACAGTGTCAAAAAGTTGATATAATGCTATTCTGGGGGACTTTAAGATCTTCGTGTTGAGGGTTTTCTCATATACTAACAAATATTAAACTTTTCATTGGTAGTGTGTTATGTGCTCTGAGGCTGAGCTTCCAGCATGACGGTGTTCCTATGTTATTCTGTGTCATTTTAAATCTCTGTTCTCAGTCAAAATAGGAGAATACCAGTCTGTCTTAGCAAACAAATGCGTAATGTCCCAAATATCCTTCATTTCCTCAAATAAGAAAATAGCTGAAAAGTAAGCTCTTTTATTTTAAAAGCTGTCAAGTATATGTGCACCAACAACTGTCTCCCAAAAAATGGGAGTTAAGTTGGAGCAGATGAGCTGTGAAGCAAGGGCCGGTGCTCACTGAGCGTGGTAGCTGATGGCAGGTATGTGGGGGTGGAGTTAAATGATATGAAGAAGCACACGTTCTACTTGGAAATGTTGGGAGGTTTTATGTTTGACTCAGCACCACGTTATTACTGGAACGAAGTTCAAGCAGTGCTCCTGCTTGAGCAGTGCTGTTGGCAGTGACAGTTTTTTTGAGCTGTATAAAACATGATGGCTATAGTTTCATTTGTTGTATAGAATGGATAGTTCACAGAATCACAGAATGGCCAGGGTTGGAAGGGACCTCAAGGATCATGAATCTCCAACCCCTCTGCCACAGTCAGGGCCACCAACCTCCCATTTAGTACTACACCAGGCTGCACAGGGCCCCATCCAGTCTGGCCTTGAACACCTCTAGGGATGGGGCATCCAATCCTTCCTCTAGGGATAATCTCTTTGGTAAAGAAGATTCTATAGAAATCCAGCCCTAAATGACCTGTACCAGCATCCCTTTTTCTAAGCTTTTGTTTTGTTTTCCAGCTTTTAATTCATTTTTATAGCAAAATAACCCGTTTTTCTCTTACCTTTACTTCAATGGGATACAAAGCACTTAGTTGCTTTACTGCTGTCTCCTGAGCCAGCTAACCTGATCAGCAGATGAAATCATGCTGCTGTGACGTGATTTGCTGTAGACAAACCTGTCAGGTTTTCATGAGTTTATCTTGCGTGCATTCATAAACCTATTAATAAATTGCTCAGTGTTGTTTCCTAAGGTAATAAATAAGGTGATTGTTTGCATCATTTTCCCATCATCTGAACCTGAGTGAATGTTTGAAGATAGCCTCAGTTTTCTTAGTATGATTTTATTAAGTAACATGAGATGAGAGTGCTGTGTCTTGAACAGGTATTTGGTCTGAAATCTAGGAAGTGTGAGAATGAGGCAGGTTGGTTTTTTCTTTAATTGTATACAAAAACTAACAGAGTCGTTTGATTAAAATGTGATGTTTGAGTAAATACCATACTTTTAAAGTACCTTGGATGTTCTGAATGTATGCAGCTGCTTATTTCATAAGGTAATAGGGGAAAGAGATACTATAAAACTAACAGGGGCTGGATGTTTTATAGAGATAATATTTTTGGAACCTTAACTTGTATGTGCTGGCTTTGCAAGATTAACCAGTTTGTTTCACATTACTTTAATCTGCTCAAGTTTTTTCTTTAGATGTGTCTGAAATGCCTCAAATCTTTTTTATTTTATTATTTTCTCTTCTACTTTTTTTTTTTTTTAACAGATGATATAATTAAACTGAACAAGAAAGAAGAGAGAAAGCAGTATTCCCCCAAAATGAAAAGAGGAATTCAGCAGAATCGAACTCAGCAATTCAGGATGCCAGGCTCCAAGTGGGGGATCCAACAACAGAAAGGTGGGTGTAACCAATATGCTGTGACTTGTCAGGCCAATAGGGAACTCAGGCACTCGATGGATGCTTTCAGTTAAAGGAGGGATCTGCTTGCCTTCTGATATATGGATATAGCTTCAGAAATTGTGTTGATATCTTGTCCCCCCTCAGAAATGGATAGAAAGAGTGCTTGTGCTAAGGCCCTTATATTAGGAAATGGAAATGCCTTGCCAAACCCTAGAGCTTTGTGAAAAAGAGCCAGCATATTTATGTACGCTAGGTAGAATTCTGCTGCTGGAAGTCACAAAAATAGCTGTACCTGCAGTCTGCAGCACTGCCTCTGGGGTTTACAAATGGACAGTGAAGAGTGTTTGAGTCCGCTTTTCTTGTTAAGACTATGGGTTGCAAAGGAAATACCACATCAGCCTTCTTCAGCCTGTGTTTTTACAGTGGATTACAACAGCAGGGAAAGAATCGCATAGGCAGGGAGTAAAGAGGGGAAAAGTGCACAAGAACAGCTTTACTGGAGATTTCCTGAGTAACTTGCAGTTTTTTCAATAAACAGGAGTCATTCTGAAAATGATTCCAGTGTGTCCAATACATGACTGTCATCTGCTAGAAATAAAGTCTGTTTTTTCTTCTGTTGAGTTTTGCAAAGTACCCTTTTAGCACTACATGATTCTGTATGCAGAATGTTACCTCCTCAGTTAATGAAGTGTTTAAGTTAGGACATACAGTTTCTTGCTTAGTAGCATTGATTTAGACCACATGCACCAGTCTGGTGGGCATACACAGTAATCCCCATGTTTTCATTGTCACTGCTTAATGTTTGTTGTAGCAGCAGTTCGTATTCAACAACTTAGATCCATATGTCTTCAGAGCCTATGGAATGTCATGTAGCTCAGGCCTCCAGAGGAGTTTTGCGCTTTAGACAGGACAGCAGAGCAGTGTTAATTAACTTGTGTATCTTTGGTAAATTCTTGGAAGTACAGGAAAGTGTTTTACGTCAGTTAGGCCAAGGGTAAGAATATCCGTGGGATGACAGTGAGTTTAAGTGGTAGACTTTCAAATGTAAGCTTCTGTTTACAACCACAGCTGCCAAATGCAATTGTTCGTGATCTGAAAGGCACAAAACAAGCAAACATCACAATTTAGAGTTTTAGGAAGAACATGAGCTTCAAATACAAAATTCAGAATACGGCTGTCTTGGCAGTTACTTTAATCTCTCAGAACTTGCTCTCCTTTTCTGCTTTCATTCTAGGAAAAAGGCAAACTTATTCCAAAATTGCTACCTTTGTGTGTTGAAACATTGTGAATAAGTTACTATTCCCTTCTACCCATTTCCTTCCATTGAAGCAAATCTCTCCTACATTGTTTTTGAGCAGAAGGTCTCATTAGGCAGTTCTTTTGAGCATTTAAGTTATTGCTTGTAGCCAGTAAGCAGATTTACTGCTGCTCCATTGCCATTGAAGTTGCTCTGAGAAGTGGACAACTGCAGAAACTGCAAAAGTTGAACGGCATTCAATTCCCTCTGGTTTTAAAAGTGGCTGCCAAACTCTCTGGAAGGAGGCAAAGAACTTGAGCTGGGACTCTTTTCAGCTCTTGTGGGAAGAAACAGAGAGAAGAGCATTGTTCATTTGAATAAAAGTTGTCCTTGGTGATACACAGAATGCAACCACACAAAACCCTGTGCAGCCTGAGCTAACTTTGAAGTTGTCATTTCACTGAGCAGAGCTTGGTCCAGAAAGCTTGGGAGGTCCCTTGCAGCTTAAATAACTGTTTTTCAGCCCTTCAATTCATAGGGAAGTGTTTGCTAACTGTCCACAGTGTGGCTAGATAGAATTTTCTCAAGACCAAATTTATCCAAGCTACATTCTGATCAATGGCTTTGCTTCTTATGGTGGCTTCCATGATGTGAAGAAGCACAAATGTGATATCAATGCCATAACATCACATCTATCAAGTTTAGATGTGTCTCTTGCTATCTTCTAAATTTATCTTCCAGTCTGGGGTTCTAGAGGGGATGACTTCAGGGTAAAACTGAGGGACTGTCTGTTTACACAGCATGAAGCTAAATGGCTCCAGACAGGGTTAACCAAACCCTTGTAACTGGAGACTTGAGATGTTTACACTACAGACCTCAGACTCACAAGCCTTTTATATCTAAAGGCTGCTGTCATTTCTCAGTCTTTTCCAGACTGCCATGCAGACTTCTAATTGAAAACACTTTAAACATGATGTAATTTGTATACTGTTTAATATGGCTCTGTGGGCTATTTGCTGTGATCTTTTATTCTTAAGACATGACTAGGGAACAACTAATCTACATAAATAAACTTGGAAGTTCTTCCTTACCCATCCCCCTTATTTTCTTTATTAAACTGTTAATTTAAAATTTGCTGAATGGCCAGGGAGCTGAATTGCTTGTTTTGGTTTTGTGTTGTTCAGCATTTGATGAAGGTCTGTTTTGGAGTATTTGGTAGTATCCTATGCCAGAAAGACACTATAATTATTCCTGCAGATGTGTCATGTAACAAATCTTGAACATAAATAATGCAGAGGGAGAGAAAAATTAAGATCTACACGAGAAGCTGGTTATTGCTGTCTAGGTTTAGATCCCAACTTCCGCTGCAAAACTTGAAGCCAAATAACTTGCATCACCTGCGTGTCATTTTTTTAACACAGTAAAATTGTTATTGCAGTAGGAATTTTTGAACCCCTCGCTTTTTTTTTTTCTTTTCAGGTTATGGTAAAAATCATTTGGGACACAGAAAGAAGATTGTAGGGAAGAAACGCCCTTATGCAGTTATAACTGGCTTGGCAGCCAAGAAAGCAATGGGTTCACACAAAGGAATTAGTCCTCTGAACAGACAGCCACTTAGTGAGAAGGTAATTAATGCATTTCCAATGGTTTGTGTAACTGCATTACGTGTAACCCTGACTCCCCAGAAAGTAAGAACAGTTTAGGAATGGAACACGTAGGCTATTGAAATATATTCCAGAATGCTGCTTCTATACCATGCAGCATCTGATGCAGTGTTTTGTGAAATGGGGGTGTCTTGGCCAAGGTGTATGTTTTGAAGGGGATGGGTAATGACAAAGCTTGAAAGCTTTTGAACGCTTAATTAGATTGCAAGGCATGAAAATTCAAGTGCAGAAAGATGTTCTGTGCAGACGTAATTTCTGTGCTTTTACAAGGAAAGCTCCTTTAATAGGATTTCATGTCATTTATGTCACTATGCTAGAAACCAGTGAACCCACAGATGTGCACGTGTTAAGTGTATGCCTATTATAAAAATGAATTTTGCAAAATACTTCTCTCTGTGTGCTTCCTGTTCTGCATTCGTCCAGTGCTTTGTTGCTTACTCCACATAGTCTGGATTTGTAGAACAGGGATTGCTTTTGGTTTTGTGCAGAATAACAATTATAAAGGTGCATGAAGGATGTATTTTGTTGGTTATATGGGGAGACAAAATAAAAGTAACTGATAAGCTGTGCTTTTTTTTTTTTGCATGTTAATGAGGGGAATGTATGACTCTTAAAACTGTAGATGGTATTTCAGAAGTTACAGTGTGTTTTGAAAGATGGACATAGCTGAGTGTGTTCTATATATAGCTTGTAAACAAAAGTTGAAGTAGTCTCAGTTACCATGATATCTGACAAAGCTGGGAAGAGTAGAGATTTTAGACTTTGTAGACAACTAATATCTTCAGTAGTACATAGCAGAACTCAGTCTTCTGATTTTCACATGATAGTGACCATATGGTTTAAGCACATACAGTTACACTATACGTGTTTCGGTTTATTAAGTAATGGTTAGTGCATACATTACAGATACCCATTGCATTCTATTTTCTTGTTTTTCAGAACACACAACGGAATTATCCCATCCTGAAAAAGAAACCAAACTTGCGAAGGCAAACTGAAATGCAGAGAAAACAAATTCCAGTCCTCAGGAGACCTGCCCCTCTAAGCAGGAGGTAAAATACCATGTTTGCTTTCCAAATTCTTCTTGACAGCTTTCCATAAAGAATTTCATTTGTGACAGCGCTGAGGCCAAGAGAAGATGGTCACAACTGGGAGTAGTAATACAGTTGAGACTGTTAATATGTGTATGAAGTGTAGCAGAGCTGGAGGCTGAGTGTGAGATGGTCTTAATACAAAGACAGATATTTATTTCTGGGCAGAATACTTGGGAATTATCTGCCTTTGTGAGGACCTGGTATTTCCTTTCACTTACATTGCAGGCAGCCTATGTGAAAACAGCCACCGTGGGTGTTGTTACTTAAAAGTGACGACCACAGTTGAGTGAACTTTCTAAATATCTGTGTCTTTTGTGGAAGGTGGTGCCACCTTCAGTTTCATGGACGCTACTGCAGATTTATTTGCACCAGAATTTATTTATGTCTGCTACAAACTGCAACTAAACTGGTTTCTGCAGTGGAAATTTTTACTGTGTGACTGTTGTGGAAACTGTAAACAAAGCTTTGTTTGCAGTTATCAACACTGCTTTTTTTCTTTTTTTCTTTTTTTTCCCCATCTAAAAAGCAACGTTTAAAGTGCTGGAGAATATCAAGCAAAATAAAGCAGAATTAATAACCAGGGAAGTAGGATTCCTGATGACAGGTGCTGCACTTCATAGAATCACCAAGGTTGGTAAAGACCTCCAAGATCATCTATTCAAACCGTCCACCTATCATAAATATATCTCCACTAAACCATGGCCCTCAGTACAGGCTAAGAGATGTGTGGGTGTGGTGCTTACATAAATGGTTTGGTGGTGGACTTGGTGATCTTAAAGGTTTTTTCCAACCTAAATGGTTTTGTGAGTCCGTAATGTCCAGTCCTAGAAATTTCTACGTTTTTGAATATGTTTTCTTCCTAGGAAGTGAGAAACTTATCACAATTGAAATGTTCTACCTCAAGGAGGCAGATCTGCAGATGTACTTCATAGTTGTCTCTCCGAAATGTTGTCTATCTAGGAAACCTTCAATAACCACCTTCTTAAATATTACAGGAATAACATGCCATCTGCTTTTACCAGAATTGGAAACAAACTAAATCAGCAGAAAGACACTCGTCAAGCAACTTTCCTGTTTCGAAGAGGATTAAAGGTAACAACACATCACTGAAAACAACAGTATTGTGCCACAAATTCTAAGCTAACCTGTAATCTGATATTAATAAATCAAGTTTAAGCATCAAATCTGAGTAGAAACTTCAGAAACAGTAGAAACTGTTAAGGAGGCACATGTTCCTCTGGGGAAATGTACTTCTCTTCAGCTGTTGTAGCCCATTGAGTCTTACTTCCTGTTTCAGTGTTGCTGAACTGTTTGAAGGGTGTGGAACTTCTCTATTTCAGGACTGTTGCAAGCTATTACCTTTTCATCCTACAAGTGTTAGAATTCAATGACAGCTTTCAACAGTTACCTTCAGCAAAATGATAGAGCAGCGTTTTAGAACCTGATTAAGAAATCCTTTGTATACAGATAAGCTAGTCATAGTTATTTTGAATACAAGCAAGAAAATAGAGAGTGCAGTGAGTGATAGCAGTGTTCTTAATTTTCGTTTGTGACTTCATCCTGTATCTGCCATGGTTTTGACTATAGGTAGTTGCTGTCTTCCATTGACAGGAATTGCAGAATTATGAGCAGGATCAGGAGAAAAACAAAACCAAACTCATTTAAAATAGCGGTGGAACTTAAGAGGTGTAACACATAATCAGATGATACCAGGACAGCAAGAGAAGAGTTAACATTTTAACCTGATAAAGTGTTTCCTGAGGGAGTTCTCAAAGATGTTTCCATCTCTATTGCTTATTTTATTAATGATTATGTTGAAAACATTTTGTGTTCTTACAGTGATCTCCTTCCAATGTCTTGCAGAAGTAATATGACAGATATTTTTATGTCCCTCTGAAAGTAAAGCCCTGCTTTTACAAACAGCTTTCAACTTCTGTTTTTTGACTGCTCTATCTCCAGCTGTTGCAATGATGGTTGAAACAGTATGCAAATGCAGTGTCTGTATTGATGTGATTTTAGGTGCAGGCCCAAGTGCAGCCAACAGAAGATCTTGATAATCAGACAGCAAAGAGAACTCGTCAGTAAGTATTCCATTTGGAAAATTTCAGTATGGTTACTTGTTTGTACTGCTGTTCTCCATTTAGTTCCAATTTCTGCTCCTGGTTTTTGTAATATACTTTTTTTTCTGGTTGTTCTTTTGTTTTTTGTTTTTTCACCTGTAGGCATCTCAACTGAATGACAATGATCCTCCTCCTACTTTTCTCAGTTGTTTCCTCAATTGTCTTCCAATTTAACCAGGAGGAGTTTGTTTGCATAAGGTGTTTGCAGGATTGAGGGGGAAGGTGATAGCTTCTGAGGAACAGACTAGTATCTGCCACTCATTCGTACTGCTTATCATTCACAGCCTGATATGCTCTTTGCAGTTTTGCTGTTGGTAACAAAGCAGGCTGAGTAAGCAGCATATGCCACTGAACTGCAGTATGTCACCTCTTGGATTTTCTACTAACTAGTAGAAACTAACTTGGCTTTACCCGTGGCAAGGAGCATGAATGTCTTAAAGTGAACATTTCAGTCAGTACTGCAGCTTTGGTACACCTTGCCAGCATGGGATCTGGAGTTCACCTGATAAGTTTAGATAACATGGATATAAGAATCAATAACCAAGATTGTAGGCTGCATGTGGTTGTCTTATTGACTGATGTTAAAAAAGAATGTGCAAGCTTTAAAAACAAGAGTTTTAGAACTCTTGGAGATAATCTGACTGAAATTCCTCTAATTTTTCTGTAAGTGATTTCTGTATTTCCAAACTAGATGGCGAACTTCTACCACAAGTGGAGGGATTCTGACCGTGTCCATTGAGAATCCGGGAGCAATTATAACCCCAATGTGAGTTTTAAAAATAGTTCTCAAACATTCTCAATATAACTGAAATTGCTGTCCCTGAGCCATTTCACAAGTTCCTTACAGATAGTCTTTCCTCAAAGTAAGAGCTTAGTGTGAAGACTTCCAAGTGTCCCTTTATTATTTCTGAGCTGTATTTGAGTAATATCACAGCTGGCTTTCACCAGGCACCTCCGTGTCAGGGGTTTGGACTGGTTTATGGAGTTGAAAAGTGGTGAACTGGTAGATTTTTCACCTTGTCTGCATCTTCCATTTCAGGCTGTTTTGTGACTATTTTGCTCCCTTTGTGACTGAATGAAAATGAATGTGCATCTAGATGATGAGTGATGGTAATTGTTTCTGCCTGATCAATAACGATACTGGGAGAACTGTGTTTAAAAAAAGTGTTGCTGCATTTGTCTTTGTGAAATTGAAGTTACTGTTGATTCACAAGGTGTTTGTAGCATTTTGTCTGTAAGAAAGACTGTACCAGTTTTTATTTTATAAATTTATGACAATAATTAACTATGAATAATGGGTTTGTCATTGAAAGATAAAATTGCTTCCTTTTGAGGCGCTTGCTTTCTGATAACAATAAGAAATGGTTCACTTTTATAGTTCTGCATGACTTCTGCCTTCTTGAATATGAGCTCTCCAGCTATTTAGCCAGCTTAATCAAGAGGCTTGATTTAAAAAAAAAAAAAAAGTATAGTTCCATCTGCAGTCAGTTTCATTGCATAAAACGTGTGTTTGTTGTGTCCTGTCTAATCTTCTTCTTTCACAGTTCCCAGAAATTGCGATTAACTCGTACTCCTGTGCCCCCATTTCTGATGAAGAGGGACCAATCTGAAGAGAAGAAGATTCCCAAAGGGGTTCCATTGCAGTTTGATATTAATAGTGTTGGAAAGCAGGTAAATGCAGTTCCATTCCTTAAGTGTGGATGTAGTTTCAATGCAGATCAAATCTAGTGAGCCAAGCACTTTCTTCCTAGACTCACTGGTGATAAGAAGTGGGAACTAGTGACTACTTCTTGTTTCCACTTCCAGTTCTTCCACTAACTTGCTGTGCAACTTCAAGCAAGTACCTGAACTCACTGTTCCTGTTCCTCTGGTTTATATCTTACATGCCCACGTGCTTTAAATGGGATGTAAATTACTAAATGTTTCTAAAAGCCTTCTAGTATTCCTGCTGTTCTTAAATCAACTAGTGTGTATAATTCAGGGGTGAGCTTCATTTGGTGGCATAACCTGTATGGAATCCTGAAGCTAAATTAATTTATAGAGCAACTTTTGCTGTGTGCCTAGGGGTATTTAAAACAAGGAAGAAAAAAGAAAAAAATCAAGTATGATGACATAAACACTTGAAAGATGAGAAAATGTTCACTGTTTTAATAAAGATGAGTAATTAGATGCAGAAATCATAGTGCTGTCCTTGAAGGAATTCCTACTGGCTAACAGAGGGTTGGATGCTGGAGAACTTGACCAGAAGATGAGCCTGTTCTTGTAATCAGCTTCTTACTGCCATCTGCAGGAAAACTATGTGGGGTCAGGACATGGGTCTGGATTTGTTTCTTCTGTGAACAAGCAATATGCCAAAAATAGTCTGCTACTGCACTGGAGCAGTTACTTGAACTTTTGGTCTGGACTTCAGTCTACAGCCTCAACTGGATGAACTGGAGAGAAGCTACATTATAGCGCTTAAACAGCTGTATTTGTGCGAGTCGCATAGAATCTGTAGGGAGAAGTGAGCATGTAAAGTGTCCTTTTTCAGTCTGTCTGTCCTCAGTTTAACTTTTTTACATTTTTCTGAGGAGACAGTCAGTCTTGACGATGCGTATCATGAGTGAATTCCAAGAAATGGTAGCTCTTGACTTTTCAGTGGTGCCAGGAGGGGCTAAACAAAGTTCAACTTCTTTTTTTCCAGACAGGGATGACACTGAACGAACGTTTTGGGATCCTGAAGGAACAAAGAACTGCGCTGTCTCAGAACAAAGGGAGCCGTTTTGTAACAGTAGGCTAACCTGACAAATGGACGAGCACTGATCCCACCTGTCTAAGAAAGTGAGATACAAGTGGGCAGAAGAATACATAAGTCACTGAAATTCTCCAGACTTCTTGCTAAGGTGGTGTCAGAAATAGCTATCTTTATTACTTCTACTTTGAACAGTAAAAGACATTTTGCCCTGAAAGGGGGGAAAAGTATGGAAACTGTTCTGCTAAAATGACACCATTACCCAGTTGGAACAGATTCTGTTGCCCAGATGTTGACAAACACTGATTTTGGTTCATCTTGCAATCAATATATAAACATGAAGTTAAACGCTTTTTTTTTGTTTGTTTGAGAGTACTCAGTATCTGTTCTTTGACACTTTGCTATAGTAAAGATTGTGTCAGTGTTTCATTACAACTACCATTTTATGGTGTTGGGGACTGCCTACGAACGTTCCTCTGGACTGAAGTTTGGCACTGAGCCTCAGTCCATGAATTCTTTGGTAGTGATGTAGCAACATTTTTCATGGGAGCATTGGTTGTACTTCTTTGTGCTTTTGAAGTTCAACTTTTTTTTCCTTTCTTTCTTGAAGACTTAAAGTTTTGCATCCTTTTTTTCACAAATAAAGCTGTTAGTTGAGACCCATAATATTAAATCGGGATGGAGACTGTTCTACTCTTATCCTTTAAAAGTGGTCCAGATAACTTAGGAAGGATTCTGCACAGGCAGTATGAAAGTAACTTATACTACAAATATCTGGACATCTTTAGCATCATCTGCAGGTAGATAGAGTATGTCTTGTCTCCTATTTTTTTCCTTGAACAATTGCTTACTATTTTCTTTTGTAAGTTGTTGGTTTTTTCCTCAAACTAAAGGCAATAACCTTACATTTTTGAGTAATTTCATAGGAATAAATGTAACAGTTCACAAGAAGGTCAGTGGTATGGTAGAGTTCCTTACCCTCCCAGGTACAGGATCCTTATCTTGCGAACCTTGCCCTGAAGGCTTTTCTCTGCTTTGTGCAAATGGCCAGAAGCATGCGATCTAATGGCGCTTGTTTGTATATACCAAAGAGAGGTGAGATGTAAAGCTCGGTAGTGGTCAGGCATCTTGAAGCTGGCTGAAGGTGGGGAATGTTGCTGGGAGAAAGCCCGCAGCCCAGCAGTGTAGGTGAAGCATTAAAGCAGGAGCACGTGGACGTGAGGCTTGGCTTTGTGTGTCCGAATCTGCAGGATGGTAACAACTGAGTCATTGCCAATATTGGTTTGTATCATCCCTAAAGATGAGGCACCTGTTCAGAATGAACATGCAGATAAAGCTGCTTCCAGCCCAGGATCTGATCAACTGAATATTGTTCTATAGCAATGCAATTTAGGTACAGCCAGGTGAAGGAATGGTCAGCTTGCTGCATCCATAAACATTTATGGTGTTTGGAGTGGTTTTAATTCCTTTTATTTTTCTTGAAGAGTTTACACTGAGTTTCTTACAAAACCAGTTTCCTTGCATTTTTATCTCAAATTCGATGTTCGCTAGCATTTACTGGGGACTTCAATGTTTAAAAGCATTGACAGTAGAAGAGCTTTCATCATGCAGCAATTTTAAGTCAGAATGCATCCTTGATGCTATATAGTACTTAAACTCTTATTTTTGATGTTGACAAATATACCTTAGCAGAAACAAACCAAGCGTAATGGTGTTAAGGTGGTTTTTTCTTAATTACTGATAGGATTTTTTCTGAAAATTCTCACTGTTAGAATTTGAGTAGATAACGTGGTGTCGCTCATTCTGTTTCAGTGTATACATTTTCCATGTGCCAGGATGCAACAACAACAAAAAATCCTTTTGCATCAACGTAGATGCAAAACATTGATGCAATGCATCAAAAAAATACCAGTTTGTATTTAATGAGAATATGCTTTACACTGTACCTTTTGGTATTTTTTGAAGAAGTTTGATCTATTCTGAAGCTGTTAATTTTTTTTTTTTTTTCCAAAATAAAAAAGTTAAAGGTTTCATTCTGTCTTGTTCCTATTATAACTGCTTGGGCAATGTGTTGGTTATATGAATGTTCTGGTATCTTTCTTAAGGAGTTGTAAATGGTCAGATTGTTATTAAATGTTATGAAGAAGGTAACAGTAAGCAGTGTAATTCAAAGAGGGCGTGCACTCATTGCCCATATCCTGAAATTAATCACTTACTGCAGTGGTGCTGTGTAAGCTCACTTGCCTTCACAAGAATTAGGGACGTGCTTTTGAGCAGCACTGTCAAATCCCGTGGTTTGGTGTGGTTATCACACGAGGTGCCTTACCCTATCTGCGTACTCATTTCGCTGTGATGTGCCTCACTAATGCAGAGTCCCTGCAATCCCTGCTTTGTGTTGCAGGATGGGTGTGAACACCCCGATAAGCGGCTGCAGCAAGCTTCTACAGTGAGCGCTTGGTGGCAAATCGGCGTTAAGCAGTAGCAATGCTGCCGTGTGGCAGCGTCATTCTGAGCAGCTCTTTGCGTTCTGGGGGCAGAGCTGGCATTTATTCACAGCCACAGAATCACAGAATGAGCTGGAAGAGACCCATAAGGATCAACAGGTCCAACTCCTGGATTCATGTACCACCACCCAGAACTCAGGTCTGATACGTCCATTACGAGCACCTTTTAAGCTTCGGTGCTGCCCTGGGAAAGCACGCAGCAGCTCGTGCTTTCCCACTTCGCTCAAAAATCCACGTTTTTTTCTCCTTATTCTTTCTTTGCTGCTGACGGAGCACTGAGCGGCAGCGTTCCGTACCGCCTGGCAGCTAAACTAGAGTTTTTCCGTGCTGTCGGCGCTGCAGCCGTTGTCGAGGGCAGGTGCGCACCCTCGCACACCGGATTACCCGAAACAACCGACAAAAAAAGCTCCGAAATAGCCGCTTTCCGCCGTTTGTTACCCAGGTGCCGGGTAGTGGAGGGAGGCAAACCCTGCGCCGCGCGCGCGCGCCGCGCGCCCCCCTGTCAAGCCACGCGCATGCGCTCTCGCCGCCCGTCGGCGGGCTCTTCTGCGCCTGCGCGGCGTCGCTCGAACGGAGCGGCGGAGGGCGGCTGGGGCTGCGCTGCGAGGGGGGAAATGGCGGCCGCGGTGCTGGCGGCGCCGGAGGGCGGCTCCGCCGCGATGCCGATGGGGAGCGCGGCGACGTGTCCTCCTCCGGCCGGCCCCGCGGGCCCCGGCTCGTGGAGCCGATCCTTGGACCGAGCTTTGGAAGAAGCGGCGGCCAGCGGCACGCTCAGCCTGAGCGGCAGGAAGCTGCGCGATTACCCGCGGGCCAGCGCCGCCAACCACGACCTCAGCGACACCACCCGAGCCGGTGAGGGACGGGACGGGACGGGAGGAGCGGCGCCCCGCAGCGCCGTGCCCGGCCCCGAGCGGCGGAGGGGCGCGGTGGGGCGCGGGGCGCCCGGTGCCGCTATCAGCGATGCCGTGCCGCCTCCCGAGCCGCTGCGGTTCCGCTCCGCTCCCCGCCCTTGTCGGCGGTCTGCCGGCGGCGGGGCGGGGGGTCCCTCCATAAGGCTGGCCGTTCTGCTTCCGATTCGGTGTTTCCGAGGATGAGTTTTCCGGAGGCTTTTTGCGGCGCGTTCTGCTCGCGGATGTGGTTTTTGCCAGCCGACTTCTTGTTTTGCTGTACGTGTGTGCAGATATCTGCGCGGGTGTGCGCGTACCTGCACGCATCTCCCGCTCCTTACCCTGCCCTGCCGGCTGTCAGGTGCGCTGAAGGCAGAGCTGTGGGCACCTGCTGCTGCTCTGCTGCTCGTGGTGTGGGTTTGTAGCTCCTCGAGACAAACGTGGTGAGTTTGACTTGAGCACCTCTCTAACGCGGAGCTCCTTGTCGGGGTATAAACTGCTGTTTGTCTGCTCGAAGGGTTCTCCACAAGCGCGGCTGCACAATGGATGCACAGCGGGTTAATCTGCAGTGAATGCTCCGTAGGTTGGTGGGAGATTGGGGCTTTTTGTTTATAACGCCATTCACTTACTGTACTCTTAAACAATTTGTGGGAATTCTTGTTTCCACCAAGGTTCCCATCTATTGTGGTGAATATTTGCATTGTCGTTGTTCAAGAAGCATTAAATTCTAATAAGCAGCAGTGCATGCCGTACACTTTTGTGTGCTTATTATCACAATGAGCCTTACCAAGAGCGAGAACTGCTCTTAAGTTGTAAGAAGCAAAGCTTGTTAAGTGAGGGGGGACATCCTCTTTGAATGGTCAGCTTTTAACACTGCTGGGGATGACTTCATTGTGTACCTTTTTTCTTGTCAGTGCTGTTTATTCAGTGACTTTTTTTGCTTTGGAGAAGGCTGAGCCAGGGAATAAACTCCATAAAGGCGTTTCTGACCCTCAGTTGTCAGCTGGGTGCTGAGGTACAGGTTTAGTCCACACCTTTCTCAGTGTTGATTTCTCTGTGTTGTGAAACTTGCAGCTACCTGGTAGTAGCCACAAATAACACTGTAACAAGCGTAGATGTGTGTTAGGTGTAATAAACACCCACAGTAACCCAGTGGAGTGTAGACTGAAGACTCGGTGCCTTCTTGCATGCTATGCTGCAGAGACTTGAAGCACATTTGGTGTTTCCCGAAAATCAGTGGAATTGCTTCAAAACTGTAAAAATAAAGGTGAAAGAATATATATTCAGATCTTAATCAATTTTATGTGCCAGAATAGACGCTTCTCTGGTCATGTCATACTGGTACAGCTCATTCCCATTCTTGCAGTAACAAAAATAACTGCACGTCGCTGTTATTGCCTCCATCTTCAAGATGTGGCAGCGAATCACATCCCTCATTAATGTAACTATGCTGCTAGAAGTGGCACCCAACGTAGCCCCAGGCCTTAGCAGAACCAACAAGCTTGCCTGGAAGGAGGTGTTGGCACAGCTGAGCCACCGAGGCGGTCAGCAGGAGGAGCAGGGTTAGCTGGGTGCCCAGTGCAGGTTTTGAGGTCGGTGACATGAGGATACAATCGGGTATTAGCCCTAAAAAAGTGCATTTTGAAATGTGAAATCCTTGTGAAAGGCGTGTTCCATGGGATCTTTCTTGGGTCAGGAGTCGATGGCTGTACTATCTCCAGTGCTCAGGCTGCAGTAGCTGCTTGTTGCATAAACTCATTTCCTGATTCTATTTACTAACAGAATAAATAGTTTCGCATGAGTTGGGATTCCAGAGGTATTTACTCCACCAAACCCCAATTTGTTTAACCTTATTTAAGCAGCTTATATTCTTCCCCCCTCCCCCTCCCCCTTGTTTTACCTGTTTTCAGGTGGCTCTGGACTGCATTGAGATCATTAGTAGCTAAGAGTCCAAAATACCTACAAAATGGATGTGATGAGCACAGTTCTAGACAGGCAGTACTGCTTTGCTTTCTGATTGAAAGCAAATTATGAAAGTGAGGGTTTATTTAAGTACTAACCTCCTGTAATGCTTTAACACCCTTACATTTGATAAGTATATTTTGCTGCAGAACAGTAATTTTTAATTGACTGTTTGTTTTTTCTTTCTGTCATTAATATTTTGTCAGACCTCTCTGAGAAGGAAATTAAAAGTAATTAAAGAACAAACACTAAAAAGAGAGTCCTGGAAGAGGGCTGTGCTCAACAAGGGTCCTGAAAGCAATTACTGTTTTGTTTTGTTGTTTTTTTTTTAATCAAACTGTGAAAAATACCAGTTATAAAAAGCACGTGCTTATTTCTGATGCATGCTAGGAAGAAATACTTGAGCTTTTTCCTACATGGTGTTTCTATACAGTTTTCAGGGTAAATTGCGTGCAACTCTTTCTTCTTGTCATCTGGCTGCAGTAAGGGAATAAACAGAAGATTTGTTATGTGTCAGTGGGAAAACCAGGTTCCTCATGCAATCACTGGCCTCAATCACAGAACTTTTCACTGGAAATATCACAGCCTCAGCCGCCTCTGGTTGCTGCTGCCTTCCTGCTGCCAAAGCCCCATGCATTTGGAACCACTGCTGAGGGCAGGCAGTGGAGTTAATACTGAGTTCCTGGCTGTTTTGTACTCTAGCTGGAGTTTATGATCACATAAGAGGTAAGGATTAGAAGTGGCATAAAATCACGCTGGAGGTGGTCTGTGTGTGGGAGGGTGAGCAGGAGGGCAGCTCCTGGTGTGTGTGATGCAGCAGTCTGTGGGATGGCTCGTGCCCGTGGTGGTGCTGATGGTAAGCTGGGCACTGAGAGAGGGCAGGCAGCTGTTCCTCGTGCTCATCCCTTACAGCTCGGGGGTTTAGGAAATGACTCAAGATTACAAATCTCACCGATGATGAATAATGTGTAAAGTTTGTTAGCAAGGCAGGGATGTGTGTCTCTTTGGTTCAAGCTCCGTCATTTAACAGCCGTTATCCATCCCCATTTTATCTGGATTGAATTATGACCCATTTGTTCATTCCACTCTCGTTTTCAACCATGGAATAGGAAAAGAAATGGCTGTAAACCATCCGAGTTAAATTTGAAAGGAAACGGAGTTGCATTTTGCCAGTTGTAATGCAGACTCTGATGTCATTGTTTGACAGCCTTCCCAGTGGCCTGAGGCGTATATTGAGCAGAGGAATGATTTGTCAGACCCACCATGACAGCTGTAATTACCTAAACCACTTGCTGTCTCCATTTCTTAAGGAGAAAATGGGGATATGTGGATTTATGTGATATAAAAAATGGCGTGGCAATGGACTAGTAAGGTAATTATGTGCTGAGCACTATGTCTTGCTTCTGGAAGATGCTACTAGTGAAAAAGGGCTTTGAGAAGGAAGAGAAAAATTGCCTACTGCTGCCTGTTGAATGACTTTGCCATTAAGGTATCTGTGGTTCCCTTTATAGCAGCTCTTCACGGAAAGAGTAGAAGCTGAATGTGCTCTCAGTAAAATTTCTGTATGCTCAGTGCTTGCATGCATTTATTTAGAAAGATTACAGTGACCATATGAGCATTCTGCACTAAGAGGTCTCGTTCCTGCCAGAAGTTCAATTGCAATTACTTGATGAACATAGAGCAGGTTGAGAAGTGCATTGTGGCTCATACAGCAGTTATTTCCCAAACATTCATTCTGAAAAGCCACAACAGCAAAGAATGAACCATGCTAAAATTTAATAATTGAAGAAAACTCTTCTGGGTTGCTGTGTCTTGACTGAAATTCATTATGGTTTTTGGGGTGGCTTGGAGAGGAGCGAGGCGTCCCTCTGCTCAAGTAATGGGATGTCAGACTGGAGGGCTCACAGTGCAGGCACTCCAATGATCTCTGTAGTTTCAGTATTAAGCACAAAAGCTTAATGTTTCATTAGTAGTTCAGAGCTGTTCTCAGATACACAGACTTGCCTCCACCCTTACCAGAACCCACGTGGAAATGCGCTGTGCAGCCGTTCCAGTAGATGTCTGGAGAGGAGGAGGGACGGTGTTGCTTTCCCCAGACTGGGTGACTTAGTGAGCAGTGTCTCTTTAGTTGTAGGCAGCTGCATTTTTTGGTCTTACCTCCTAACTGTGTCCTTTATAATCTGACCATTGCTCCCACTTGGTTTCTTTCCTGTTAACACTTCTGTTACTGGGTGGTTTGGATCATGCATGTGTCCCATGCATAAATACCAGCAGTTCCTCGGCTAATGGAGTTAAACCAGAGCATGGTGCTTTGATAAATTCAGGTCTTGCTTTTTTTGTTACTTTCTAAATGTGGAGAGAAGCTGACTGCTTGTTGAGTGCTTTGTGTTGGGTTCTGATGGAGGCTGAGGCTTGCAGTGCTGCTCACAGCTTCTTGGTGCTCGGGTGGTCTTTTTGCTTTGTGTTTTACAGAAGCTGGGAAAGTGGAGTCTGAGCTTGTAGTTTCTAAGCCTTGTTGCAATCAAAGTAATACATGACATTTGGAACACTCTTATTTTAATGAGTTGATTTAGAAAAATAAAAATAAAGAAATCCCACAGTCCAACTTTTACTGCCAGTAAACCCTTCTAAGCGGTGCTCAGAATTACATACACTTCTAGTTACTTCTCCATAGTCTTCCACTTCCCCACCTCAATCTTAATCAGATCTTTTTTTTAATAAGCACTAATCTGCATGCACAGTCTTAATTATTTTTGAGTACTGTAGCTGTGTAAGAAGTGGAGAGGGGCTGAGAGGCTCTGTGTGAAAAACTTCCTCTCTTCTAGGAGGAAGTTCTTCGCACCCAGAGGGTGGTGAGGCACTGGAACAGGTTGCCCAAGGAGGCTGTGGATGCCCCATCCCTGCAGGCATTCAAGGCCAGGCTGGATGTGGCTCTGGGCAGCCTGGTCTGCTGGTTGGTAGCCCATATGTAGCAGGGGGGTTGAAACTAGGTGATCATTGTGG